TTATTTTTTATTATTTCACATTATGCTTAGGAAATCCTTATTTAACATTAAGTTTATACTGGTGAAGCAAATGCGTCGAACTATAGTAAGCCGGTTTTATCAGATGTCGTTCAGATCAGGTTCTCTGCCGACCACTTAGTTTTATGATTGTCTGATAGCATACTCTTCACTCTGGTCCCAAAATGTAAAGGTATAGACGAACATGTTCATATACTGTAAAATGATGACCAGAATTTGCGCGCTTTATTTACTCTGACATTTTCTCAGTAGTGATGAATTTTCAGAAAATTCATCCAAAAGAAATATATACGATGGAATTCCAGGTCCTTATCGTTTAGGATATAGCTTTAACTATAAATAGGACTAGCTGAGCTCTCTTTGCCCTTTAGTTTAAGCAAACTCTGCGAGAATAATTGACCTACTAGTCTGGACTGACGCAAACAGACATTTAAATAATACTGTTCCCTTACCGAAGTCTGCAAAATGAGAAGAAGTTATTCAGAAATGGTTGCGTTTGACATATCGAAGGAAGAACTGATGGATGTTTAGATCATGATTAAGATGCCTGATTTGTTGGTTCCTCAGGATCGGTGAACCAAAATCTTGATAGTCAGTGAACTTTCTCGTTATGGTTCAGAATTGAACACCGATTCAATATTGTCAAATACTTATTAACAAATGCTGGAAAAATGTTGGCGTTTTATTTGACTTTCACCCTAATTGGTAGTTTTTGACTGAACGAAATGAAAACCATTTGTTAGTTAAAATGGGGCATTGGAAACTTTGGCTGAAGAATGCAGTCCCAGTAATGTCCCTCCGTCAGCTTTTTGACCTGCACTGTATTTCATCTACTATCCAACAGCTTCCTGTCGTCTGATGTTAAGACTGTTAGACTTGGTGGACGACTTATGGTGAGGACTCGGTGTTATTCTGAAGTTAATACAAGTTCTGATGATGGTACTGAGGCAAGTGAACTTCCTTAAAGTATTGCTTTCTGTACCTATGCTTTGGCGATCTTTAGACGTGAACATGAGTGCATTCAAAAAAGGGAAATATTTTACTCTATAATTCGACATCTAGGTTAGGATTATTTTATATTTACTATAGCCCACGTGCAACTTCAACATTTAAATATTAGAAATAATCGACAGTCCAAAGTAACAGTTTTTAAAATTGAGTGACCATGAGTTGTTGATGTCAATAAATATTGTAGAACATGTGCACAGTTGGAGTGGTGCTTTGTGATCTATGAAGATGAGAGATTTCCTTTATCAGATAATCAACTGTGGTGTTCTATAAAAATCCCATTTTATGTAATTCTGTTTGTATATATTTGTATGTGTTTGTAATATACATTCGTAGATATTCCCTTGTTCCTCGTTACAGGTAATATTTATTCTAATGTTGTCAAGATTTGAACATCTGTTTCATACGATAAGAACACTTTTTCGTACCTTAAAATGAGAAATCGGTAGTTTAACATGTTCATGTGTATATTTCGTTTCTCGCTTCAACTGTTGTTCAGATAAGATGAACTTGCATGATTGATTTAAGAGCATCATTTGGTCCTAGGGTTTTGTATATTGTGTTAATCACATTTAAGAATAAAAAGGCGGTCATACGACTCCTTTGTATTTGAACGTTCTCCGTCTGCTTTGATTTAACTGATTAACTATGTGACGTAGAAATAATTTGTCTACGCTGCTGGGTGTGCTCTTTTATGGTGGGAACGTAGACTATTTGTATTTTTTGAGGGCTAATTTCTTAACAAGTTTACTAGTTGTGATCGAATTTCCGGTTGCTGAATAATTCTTCAGCCGTATAACCTGATTATGATATTCGTCTAAGTACTCTGTAAAATTCATATTGAGAACTTTTATGATTAGAACCAAACCAAAAATAACGCTTCACTATTCATTAATAACCAATTAGATAAGGTTCGAATGGTCGCTTGTTTTCATAGCACACCATTATTTAAGATGAATTACAAATATAAATATTACACGAATGGTTGATCCAATTAGTAATGAAGACATTCCGCTACGCGTAATATAAAACCTCTGGAAAGAGATATAGTGCAATATACGTGTAGAATTATGGTCTAGTCCGTTGTTAGTACTACCGTATTAATAGACCTAATCTTAAAATTGTAGATTTGTCACGATGTGACCACCTAATCTATAATATCGTATGTAGATGTCACATCATTGTCTCAAGTGACTCGTCGTATCGTGACCTTTAGCAGTATGGTGCCTCCCACTTAGGAAGAACACATTTTGGCTGCAAAGTGAATAATATATTTGATGTGGAAAAGTATGGGTGACACAAGAATAACCACGCATACAATGCTGAGACACATCATGCCGATTAATCATTGAATGAATGAAATGTTCCCACTAACTTTTTGCAAGTGCTGCGTGTTGAATGCAAATCTTTCCAGTAATTACGCGTTCTGCTTCAAAGTGTGTCGTTAGGGGTCAATGCCATTACATATGTAACGTCGTGTGGGATGGACGACACACGTAGGGGCCTACCAAGTCCAGATGAACATGGTCGAAACGAGTGTCAGAATTTGTGAAGGAGCCCGAAGGACATTTCTTGTGACTAATCATCTAAGATTTCTGACATCTTGCACTATGGCGTCCCATATCGTCAAATCTTTATTCATACCAGGCTAACAAAATCGTTCTGCTATGAGCCTGGTGGTAACATAAACACTTGGATGAGAATGATCGTGAAACATATTGAATACTTTGCGTCGAGAATGTTTCGGCAGGATTAGAAGACCCCTACCTTTGGGTGTGTCATTTGGAACAATTTCCGTACCCGTTCCCATCTCTTTAATACTCAGTTTCAGGGTAGTCGAAGATAACTCGTGCTGAAAATCAGTGTCTCCTTTTTGAATCTGTCTCTTAGCTTCACTAACACATTGAGACTCTAAGCGTCTCTCGGGTTCTGTACCTATGTCGAATATATTCACATATTTCTTCTACATTTTACTCCTTGAAACGTTTGTCATTTGTACTTTCTTCCTAAACTGTCCCACACTTTATATTTTGATCTTTCAACTGAATGTCCAGTAATATCGTTTCTACCAGTAGTGACACTACAAGTACAAAGACAACTAACTGAAGAAGAAATTATTCAGAGGTTATTAATAAGTTGCTTCTCTCAGCAAAATTATGAGAAAGCTCAGGACAATACCAGAAAATGATCTCTGAGTATTGTGTACAATATATTTAACTCAACTAGAACACCGAAATTGGATTCCCCACTAAGTAATCAGGATCACACACTTCCTCAGGTCTTTGATCCTATTAAGGCTTGCAAGCAAGAAGGAAATGGCGAAATCAGCGTCCCAAACTGCTCGTGTTACTGGCTATCACTGGGGAGAAACAGCAGGAAGATATCATGGTATCATACTCATGTCACTTGTTAGAACCAATGTCCCAACATTTGGATGTGACCACCAGACTGGCTCGATTCACTGCCGCTGTGATTCAGCAGTGTCAAGGCAGTATTGCGGACTTATGTTAAATCACCCCTGTCCGCAGTTCTGGTACATTCGTCCATTGTACAGAAAAAATGCACAAACAGGACTAACGAAATAAAAGTATGAGAACATTTAAAAAATAGTAGCAACCATTCACACTAACATATCAAATAGGTCCATCACAGGTTCAAAAAAACAGTGAAACAATAAAGCTAGCACATACGCCAGCAAAATTATCAACTGTTATTAATACCCTGGTATCTATTAAAAGTAAGGAGCAGTAGGAAAGAAAATGCCAGTAGCATAGCTACTTAAACTCCGAAAATGGGGACAAGGGCTGTAGAAAAAACGCCCATATCTTATCTATTGTCCTTTGTCGGAGATTAGCTCATTAGAAAGTTGGGCGACCTTTGAATAAGAACATTGAAACAAATACCGTACAATACTCCGAAAAGGTATCACGTCAGCCAACCCATGCCTCTTGCATGAGAACGTATATTAACAAAAAGTGATCCCCCTCGGCTAAGGGAAGTTTGGGATTCAGAAGGCCTTACAGAGGAAATTTAATGACATCCTGGAGACCAACGATCAAGCAGTCTTCTCAAATCCAAGTTGGACACAATAAACCGTGTGCTACCATAGTTGCCTCTAGAAGATCAGAAGACACCTATGAACCAAATAGCATGGTGATTCACGGATAACATGAGCTAGTAGTTGTTGGTTGGGATGAAGGTTACGAACACGATATGCAGTGGTGGCGTTGACCGCCACTCAGGACACGTGTTCACACCACCACAATAATTATCGATAATTGTTACGATACGATGAGTCAGTGTAGACAGTGATTAGAATTACACGTAAGATCTTATGGAGTAGGCAGTTACGTCATGACAAATCTGCAATTTTAGGATTATTTCCATTATTAGATCAGTACTAAAATCATGGTAGACCATAATTCTACAACGTAAAACCCTCGAACTTAGATAATTTACAGACAGATGATCATCGTCAAGTTGATGATATTCATGTCCACTCACTGCTAGCACGTAGCGATTCTTCTTCTTCTTCTTCTTCTTCTTCTTCTTCCGTCTTCTCGTACATTATCAATTAAGTAAACTATTTGTTTATTCTTGATAGAATCATTTCTTAGTACTCGAATTGTCACATTATTTTCACATCGCAACTAGCTAGTATCATGCCTGGTGATGCGATAGCTGCTGGTATACAGAATTCTTGCTGCCCTGAGTCAAACCTACTCACTCAAACTAAAATATATACAAATCCAACTACAACACTGACTAGAATTAGTGCGTTCGATTGGCTAGGTTACAACCAATAAGACATAAAAAAAATGCCTGGAACCATACCGAAATACTAGGAATAGACCGTGAAAAAATCAGTTCGTTTATACAAACTAATGATAAAGTTATTGGATATTTGATGGTCAGTTTTCGGGACATTTGGATAACCTCTATTGGCGGCACAGTTGTATTAAGTTTTCTTGAAAATGCCTAACACGAAGGGAGATGCCATGCGAGGTTTAGCCGTTTTTATCTCTGATATCCGAAACTGTAAAAGTAAAGAAAGCGAAATACGCCGCGTCAATAAAGAACTCGCAAATATTAGATCAAAATTTAGGGGTAATAAGTAGATAATTTGTAATGCTTTGTAGGTGATAAAACACTTGATGGTTATCAGAAAAAGAAATATGTCTGCAAATTGCTCTTCATATTTCTATTGGGGCACGATATTGATTTCGGACACACTGAGGCAGTCAATCTGCTTTGCTCAAACCGATATACAGAAAAGCAAATAGTAAGAGTATTTTGCAAAATAACACCTATAGGGATATTTATTCATATCTGTACTCATCAATGAATCACACCCACTCATGAATTTGGTTATTTCACGTCTTAAGGATGACCTGAATAGCCGGAATCCTGTGTTTATGAATCTTGCATTGCAATGCATCGCCAATATAGGGAGTCGTGAAATGGCTGAAAATTTTGCAGACAAGATCCCTAAATTACTTGTATCAGGGTATGCCCATGCTTGTTCATTACCACCTTTAGTGATACAATTGACTCCATCAAACAAAATGCTGCTCTTTGTCTTCTGAAGTTGATTAGGGTTGCTCCTGAACTGATTACGTATGATGATTGGACTGTTAGGGCGATGCATCTACTTAATGATCAACATTTGGTGAGTTTAATTGTTTATTGCTTATGAAACTAGTATTTCGAGTATGATACGCTGAAATTAACTCCACCATACTAGATATGCAAACAACCCCGCTTTCAATTGTCCATTCTGATGTCAGGGGTCATATTATTTGAACATATTATTTCTAGTGTGAGTTAATTACTTCTCATTCTTAAACGTGCTCTAGTTCACGTAAAGTTAACTAGACCTTGTTGTATTAGGAATACTTCATAGATCGTCGAATATCGACTTCATTTCAATACATCTATGTATACTTGTAGGTAAATATAGTATGTTCTCTCTGTTGAGTGTATCACACACATCTGTGTAATGCACGTTTTACGATGGAGAGTCGATTAACTTTTGTAGTTGACACTTTCTACTGCTATATAATTCACCAAACACAAACCGGCATCGAAGCTTACTCCTTGTGAGCACTAGTAGGACTCCCTGACTGGTTAAACTGAAATGGAACAGAGTTCAAACCGACTACTCTGTGTCTAAAGGTCAAACCACCGCCCTGTTATAGTTAAACTGCGAAGGTAACCGGCCTATAGATCGAAATCTCTTACTTTCAAATCAGTGATTTTTGAGTTGTAAGGTCCATGTATAAGGAACATTCTGGAAGGAAGTACTAGTTATCTGTTGACATATTTGCTTGTATGACATCATGTTCTGTAAAGCATATAAATTCCATTACTCTGTTTTATTTCAATCAACCATAATATTTAAATTTATCTCACCATTTAGGGTGTTGTGACATCGGCCGTTAGTCTGATCGATGCTTTGGTGAAAAGAAGTCCAGAAGAACACAAAGGATGTGTATCTCTTGCTGTTTCACGCCTTAGCAGAGTAAGAATTTTTGTTGCAATATGGTTATTTTAACATTACTTGTCTTATTACCTCATATTTTATGTATTCTGTCCCTTCGCCTGTTTAAATCTGAGTGTTCAGATCACACGAAATCGCATTGTATTTTTTATAGTCCGATCTACGTAGCAGCGCATCTATACCTTCGTCAGATAAAAAACTACAAGTTTAAGAGACAGTGCATCTTACTGTTGAGTATCGTAAGATCTTTATCTACCAATTCAATATAATGATCGTTCTGCATAACGTTCGATTGTATTCTGGCAACTCCCATTATTTACCCATTTAATATTGTGTTTTTCCAACATGTTATCCATTCAACCCTTAATTAATTAAGTTTACTTGATTATCACTGCAAATTGAGTGTGTGAATTAGTAGAATTTTTTCCCAATATATGTTCTCAATTCCAAACTAGGCTTTGTGTTAATAGTATTAATAAGCGATCGCGTTATGTTCAGCAATTGCCATCACATTTGCGTTCACTATCACGCTGTTATTTTCAAAATCGTTTAGCAAGAAGCGAGTTATAACAGGACTGTGACCATTCCAGATAGTAGCAGTAGTAATTTTTCATTACAGCCTTTCCATTACTTTACGATTTACTATTTGGTTTCTAAACCGACTTACTGCACACATATATTGTGCGGGAATCCTGATTTACATAGCTCATAAACATGATAACTAAACTTTTGTGATTGATATCTGAATCCATCATTTCAAAAATTCATGTTTCCTCTATTTCCTTCCAGTTAATAACATCTTCTTATACTGACCTACAAGATTATACCTACTACTTTGTTACTGCTCCGTGGTTATCTGTCAAGTTACTACGTCTACTTCAGAACTACCCACAACCAGGTACGGTTAATTGTTACTACAATGTTGCGTCATGTGATAAGATATACCGTTTTGCAATAATTGATTTAATATTGTACTTTTAATTTTTATTATCCAGAGGATACTACGGTTCGTGCTAGACTTGCTGAGTGCCTCGATACTATTTTGAAGAAAGTTCAAGAAGCTCCAAAATCAAAGAAAGTACAACATCCAAATGCTAAAAATGCTGTTCTTTTTGAAGCTATCAATCTTATAATCCATATGGATTCTGATCCCAAATTGCTTGTCCGTGCTTGTAATCAGTTAGGACAGTTCCTACAACACAAGGAGACCAATCTACGTTACTTAGCTCTTGAATCATTATGCTTGTTGGCTACGAGTGAATTCAGTCACGAGGCAGTCAAGAAACATCAGGAAACTATTGTAAATGCACTTAAAGTAAGTCCTATTTACATAAACACTAGTTGTTATTGTGTTATAAATGTCCTGGGAGCTTAAGAAGCATCAGTCAGTCAGTCAGTAACAACGTAGAACTTCGTACGTACGTACATCAGTTCGAGTTACCACACCACATTAGCACAGAGATGCAGCGGTCGACTCAAAGCATATTAAGTTTAAAAGCTTAAACTTTCAATGAACTTTAGTAAAGGTTCATTTGACAATTATTCCTTTAATAGTCCTAAGTTTACAGGTTGTTAGCACATGTTTCGAAAAATGTCATGTTGGTTTTTACACTAGATGGATATAATCGTCTAACGCCAAACAAAGTGAAAATATTATTCTTGCATTGTTCCGTTGTACTATTTAAACTTGGATTAATTTAATTTGGTTATTTATTCTCTGAAGAAGTGACTTACACTAAGCCACGAAACGTCAGAAAAATCCAATTTTCTACTCATTGGGATATTACAAATATATTATTTTTATTTAAAAGTGATTCATTACCCCAATTAGGTTTTAGGTTGATTATATATGGAGTTTTCCAGGTCATATGTGAAAAATATTTATCAAAATCAAGGGTTTAAAGCACCGTCCTTTAAAATACAATTGTCGCTTTGTTTAGGGACCATATTTTCTCATTGAATGAGGAATATGATTTAATCTCTTTCTAAACCATAAGTGGTTTGATGCTGTAAGTCAACTTTTACTTTATAACGATCGAAAAGTTTTTAGCACTGAACAAAAAGCGCTTGACTTGGCGGAATGTTGCTATTCGTAGGAAATTGATAGGTAATGACTTTTCATTGAACTCGGTCGTGTGCTATATTACTGAAAATTGCCCTTGAAGTCAATGGTCCGACTTATTTATTTATTTGTTTATTTGAACACATAAATATTGGTACAAGAGAGCGCCAATATATATGCGCCACACAAAACAATGAGAATTCGAAGAGAAGTAGAAAGAAAAAAAAACAACTAAGGAACCCAAAAGAAAAAGAGAACAATGACAAAGAGATTGGAGTAAGGTAGTGTGGTAGTAACGACGGAACGAAAAGGTACAATCAGAAGAAATCTTTCAGGTAAAGGAGACACAACCACTTTTTATGAAGAAAGTAAAAGAAGGTTACAGCAGGATCGCCACTGGCTTCTATTCTGAGCCATATCTGATAACGTCTCTAGCCACTGTGTAGCACCATCTCTCGGACCCCAACCAGGGAGTCGTGAAGGACCAACACAAGCCAGTCCTTTGCAGCTTTCTTTCATACCACGACACCATGTCATGCACTGACCACCTCTCCGCTTCTTCCAACCAGTCCCAGGGTCGGCAAATAATGCACGACGTGGAATTCTCTGGGACGACATTCGGAGAACATGTCCAAGCCACCGAAGTCGGTGTTTCAAGATGGTGACACCAATTGAGTTATCATCTCTGTGCCCGAACACACGATGCCGAACCTCTGCATTACTGACATGGTGTTGCCACTGAATGTCAGCAATCCTTCGGAGACAGAGATGATCGAACACAGAGAGTCGTCTAACGTCCTCAACTCGGAGAGGCCAGGTTTCACAAGCATAGAGCAAAACTGCTCTCACCGACGCGTTGTAGATCCGGCCTTTTACAGCCAGACTAACATCACGAAGGCGCCAAAGGTGGCCCAGATTGGCATAAGCCGCTCTGGCTTTCACTATTCGTGCATTGATCTCATCACTCACACCCCCACCAGCACTTATGCAGCTACCTAGATACACGAACTTCTCGACTACTTCTATCTGCTCACCATCCAGGGTGAGTACAGGATTAGAATCCTGCCAGTCTTGTAGAAGTACTTTGCACTTCGAAGGTGGAACTAGATGTCCGACTAGATGTGAACAGGCTTTCAGCCTGGTCAGTCTCTAACTAAATATCCGAACAATAATCTAGGTTATGCGTTCCGTTTTTAAGATTTCAATGATTGATGTTATTATTGAATGCTCATCACTAATTTGTTTGGAATTGTGAACTTAGATTCCACAACATTTAACACCCAGCGTCATTGTGAAAGATGTTACATTAAGTAAAGAAAGCATGAAAATGTGCATTGATATAATCCAGTACCTGTCATTGTGTTGTTGATTTTACTGTTTAGAGTGAACGGGATGTTTCAGTTCGTCAAAGAGCTGTGGATCTCTTATATGCTATGTGTGATCGAACTAATGCTCAAGCTATTGTAGGGGAGATGCTCAGCTATTTGGAAGTAGCGGATTATGCTATCCGTGAGGAGATGGTTTTAAAGGTTGCTATCTTGGCGGAAAAATACGCAACTGACTATTCTTGGTATGTGGATACTATACTGAACTTAATAAGAGTTGCTGGTGATTATGTTAGTGATGAAGTTTGGCATCGTGTCATCCAGATTGTTATAAATCGTGAAGACGTACAAGGATATGCAGCAAAGACAGTGTTTGAGGTGAGTTTATGTCTCATTTTTAATTATTGTTCAGTTATTTATAATGTATTTTACCGTGACAGTACTCTCCACTGTTTTAAATTGATACTGAATTGCAGTAGATTAGAAATAATTTTATGCTTTCGTTATTACAGTTGTCACACTTAACATAATGGTACGCTAATACTTTTCTATAATTCTTCTGGTTAACTTTAATCATAGATCACTGATATATCCTTATTGTTAGCACAATAGAGAATCATCTGAGTGCGTAAATTAGAAACCTTTGATCTACTATATCTCATGAGATTTCATATCAAACAGTTTCTGACTTCATATGGGGTTGGTAACCGAAAACGGATAACCATTCTATTATTATCATTATTTTTTGTTATTATTACTGTTATCACTATTACACTGCTATTATTACAGCCGTTACGTAATTTTAATTTGGTGTGCGACCTTTTCCTTTCTGGAGTGCTAAGTTTCTTTTTCAGTTAATTAATCACACTAAATAACCCCGGAAACAATTCAAAGTGAAACCAAAATGAAGAAAAAAGATAAAGGATAGTTGTAGACGTGGAAATATTTACAGAGTACTAGCATAGGTTATATATGATCGTGGACAGAAAAATCCACTTTTTTTCGTGTTGACTACATCTTATCATTGTTTATACAAAAAAAGATTTCCATCTCTGATAAATCAGTTTTCGTATTCTTTTGCTTTTTTCTTGCATTTGGATTATTTCTGATATCATTTTAACAGGTTTTCTAGCATCTGTTTTTAACAGGAAGAAACACATTCATTTCAGCTAACTAGTTCATCCAGTAATGCACTGTTCGTCCATCATTTTTGCATATATATTGTTTATATATAGATATCTTTCAGAAGCTTCACGAACTATTATGTGATTTGACTTAGAATTACTATTATTTATCACCATCATTCATTTATTTCTTCTTTGCATATTATATCTTGTGAATTTCTCTCACTGCTAATGTGTTATGTCAATTTCGGATAATACATATTCGTGCCAGCTCCTAAATTAACAATGAATTATGACAGAAATGATTTTTTTAAAGTCACATATCTCTATTCTGATTCTTTAGTGATAATCATTAACCTTGCTAATTTACAGGCGCTTCAAGCTCCTGCATGTCATGAAAATATGGTTAAAGTTGGAGGATATATTTTGGGTGAATTTGGCAATCTGATTGCAGGGGACCCAAGATCAGCGTAAGCTTTCACATTATTTAGTTTTTTTTTCCATTTTTTTTGGATGGGAACAGTCAATATTTTCATGAACAGATTTACTTCGCTACTCCACTGTTGTGAATGTATCCATCTGAAGTGAAAGATTTTTAGTCTTTTAAAAACCTGTTACTTGTCTTTTAAAATTTTTTTCGACGTTGGATTTATAAAACTGTAACTGTAAAGTCTAATATCGTTTCTCAAAGTGGGAATGTGGTATGACGGTTGAAGTATGTGCTTTCAAAATAATGTGGTCATAAGTTCGAACCATACTTCACTTCGGTTTAGGCAGTTGGTTAGTATCAGTGGCTGTTACGTGTGCTATATCTAAGGTTGTAAATAATGGTTTTGGAATGCGTCATCATACTTATTGGTGATTATTAAAACGACGAATAATGCTGATCAATAGTTAAAACGCAATGATATTATGTGACGTAGTGGCGACTGATTTATTGATGTAACATACCTGCATAATTAATATTAAGCCAAAAAATGAACATGATTACATTTTATCATTGGTTAGAATATCCTAGTTTTACAAGCCACTTGTGAACAGATGAGCCAAGATTTGATTGTTAACCTTATCTTTTTCCCATTGAATCACAGACTTAAAGTCAAGTGTATGATATAAGATTTGTTAAGTTGTTTCACAACATACTTTTAGAATAACAAATGTATACAGCACAGTGGCTAATACCATGCAGATTTATTTTAACGTCCGATTGCTTTTCAATATACCAGTGAACGCTGTTATGTAATATTATGATTAAGAATATAAGTTTTGTAGTCTATTTTCATGTATACCTACAAAATTAGTTGCACGGCACCCACATTTCATGCCGTTTCAGCGTACCATTCGTTAGTTTTATAGGCTCAAAAACTGGAATAAAGTGGCAATTGATCGGGTTGATAATTACAGATCTAATACGTAACTTTTTAAATCCCACACTACCAATTATCAACAAATAACTTTTATTAGGTTCTTTTGTCATGGTTCTTTTCTAAATTTATAAAAATTCTATATTATTGATTGTTTCTGTTTTGTAAATTCATTTTTTTATATCCAAAGACCTAAAGTACAATTCAATTTATTGCATAGTAAATTTCATTTATGTACTCCAACTACACGTCAACTATTATTGTCCACGTATATGAAGTTTATCAATTTGTTTCCAGAAATTAAGTCCGATATACAGTCTGTACTACAAAATGACAGTAATTTACGCAGTTCCAATGTAGAAATACAGCAACGAGCTACTGAATATTTAGCGCTGTCGCGAATCGCCACTGATGACGTATTGGTTAGTCTTTTTTGTAATTATTCATTGTATAAATTATTACTACTGAAAATAAAATTTAACGGAAATTACAAACGCTCTATATTAGGATTGTTGGTAGGATAGGATTTCTCTATGATAAACTGAAATGTAATAGTTTCATTTTTAGGATCACGTTTAAACACATTCAATTTTCGCTCCATTTACCATACTTTTAATTTACTGGTAACGTAACGGTTTAAAAAGTCACTACTTCAATGCGTCTCACATCTACAACCTTTTCGTATCTTGATTCCCAACCCCATAACATTTCAGCAAATCCAAAGAAATGTGGTCATTACTGTTATTTGATCAGCATTATCATAGCAGTTGGTCTGCGAGTCCTAAACGTTAACTGACGTTTTATGTTTCAAATCGTACTCCATAAAGCTTACGATCACTGAAAATTATTTCCTTCAATTGCTGTTCATTATTTTAGTATTTTCTTTATTTAGGTGTTATTTAAATTTCTTGAAAATGTAGGAAGAAACTAATTGATTCGCATTTAGATGTTTATTGAAGATCATGTTCTTTGTCGAGGTTCTATTGAAGATGAAACTTTTTGAATAGGTTTAGTTCCCGAGGTTGAATTCTGTTCCATGATCCGTTTCACTATTAATGTGTCAACGAATGAACTCAGCGTGGACCGTATTTAAACAAATGACGATGATTATAGACTGTAGGGGAATGTTTATTACTACTTATTCAACTATATTTGACGCAGATACATTCACACTTTGTCGTCCCTTAAAACCTATGTAAATGTCCATGTACCTTATATTCTATATTTCTTTGCCTAGTCTTTTCTACTACACTTGATGGTGTTACTTTTATGACTTTATGTCCGGCTTTTTATCACGTGATTTATCCACCAATCAAAATACGACTTACACAATCTTAGCACTATGCCAAACCAATGACGTTCGACTGGTATGGGCAGCCTAGTGTCCTTATTGGTCATATGTCCGCCCATCCCGTCCACTTGAGTCCAAAACACCAATACCAGCTCCCATTATGCGAATCTGATCGAATCGTTTATTTCAGACATACTTGGTTTATATATCAGTCAAACAGACCTCAACGCACCATAAAATAGGAAATAACATTTGTACACAATAAAGCCAAAAAGTGACCGTGAGCGTGGGAGGCAGTAGTCAATAAACTGAACATAGCTTAAGAACAGTAAATCGTACAGTAATAAATTATAGGTCAAAATGAAGCATATAATAAGAGGAATATAAATATAAATAATCTAATTATTGACTAGTTATACCATAAGAATGTATAGATAATATTAGTCAATTAATATGTCTCAGAAGTTACCCGTGATTTAATCTTCGCTCGGATATAACAGTTACTACTTCTGGTACTGTAGGATTTGTCTCGATAATTTCATTTCACTGTACTAATTTTGTATCGCCACTTCAGCTGTAATTTTTGGAAGTAAAGTGTTTTAAATTAGATCATATCGTACAAAATAAAGAGCTTATTTCTCTCTCATGACTTGTGGCTTAAAATCCGATTGATTACGAAATTGAATTTCATCATACTCAATGTAGAAAGTTTTGTTGAAAATTATTCTCATGAAGTGATTGGGAATGTATTAATTTGTAATTAACCTTGAAGATATTATGAGTTTCCATGAGTTTTCAAATTCATTGTCGGGTTTATCTTCTCTCGTAGTACTTATTTTCCTATGCTTTGAGTAAAATTGAAATGTTGAGAATATTTCTTGGTCCATATTTTCTTATCTAGTTCATAAATTACAAATGTAAATGGTTTTTATTCTGGTTTTATTATCTCTTTTTGGAAAAAATTATTTGTTCACCTATTCTCTGTTATATGTTAATTATCCATATTATTTCTGACATATTTAGGCTACTGTTCTAGAAGAAATGCCACCTTTCCCAGAGCGTCATTCCAGTATTTTAGCTAAACTTAAGGCTAAAAATCCTAATACTGATGGTACAATATCAAAATCGGAAGCTGTTGGGGAAAGTTATGCTTTGAATTCAACCAAAGTTAGTTTTCAGTTGTATTATTATCTATTTTGTTATATATATATGTGTACCAGTAATGTGTTATTCCTTCATTATACTTCAGTTGGGACGATACATTTCACGTTTTAAATATGTTTTTCAGAACTTTTTCTACAGCTGTGACAGTATGTCCACAGTTTAGGACAACTCTAAACTGATTTTAACCCAGTTTCCACATTCCTAGTCATTTTCAAGCCCTAATACATATTGGACTCTGTGGAAGTGGTAATTATAGGATTATCCTATCCTATTTGATCATCTTTATCACAGTAAAGAATAATTTTGTTTTGGCTTTTGAAAGCTGTCCTATGTTAAACAGATAGATAATCAAGTGCTTGGAGTAGAACCACTACCAAGTTGTTTTTAACATATTTATTTACTCCAATCGTGATGCAATTGTGGATTAAAGTAGGTAATTCCTTTCCACTAGCCAAAACTAAGAAAGAATGGGATCGTAACTATTATTTAAATTAAAATGAACAGTTACTGACTTTTTTATGAAGTCAGGTCACCCCATTTAGGTCACAACGTTGTTATTATTCTGTAGTTGAAAGCTGGTGGGAAAGTGTCGACCCTCAAGATTTGTGTCTATCTACGTTAGTGTACATTAACAAACTCTTCATTTTAGCTAAAAAATAATGTAAATGCAACTTTTCACTCACTGACTCTAAAACACACAAAATGACAAAAATCGGTAACAATGTCTAGGTTAAATAAACATAAAATCTTCATTTCCATACATGTAGGATAGTAGTAGTGCATATGTTTGCGTGGTTAATGTCTACATCATTATTGGTACATCATTTGTTAGCACTTTATATTACATAGCTAACCCTTGAGCATTTTAAAGCTTTTATTATTAGACACTAACCACTATACCTAGTGAAAATGCTAATTATGTTACTAGTTAGTAATTTTGTTTACTTTATTTGCTTAGTGATCAATAGTTTGGTTGTATAACTAATTTTTTGACGAATAATATAACTTAACATCCGAATTCTTAAACATTATAAATATTTAGAATCACACATACAGCTTATTCATTCGATGATTAAATATAATTTATATGATGATATTCATACGGTCACTGGAATTTTGAAACATTTCGAAATGATAACACCTATTGGGTTATTGGCAATAGATTTTTAAATAAACGTTAACTTCATCGATTCGTTGTTTTGTACTTTAGGTGATATATATATATATATATATATATATATATATATATATATATATATATATATTAAGGAGAAATAAAATTTCCTCAAATAAAAAATATTCATAACAACTGGTTTACACAAGTTTACATCCATTGTATACATTCTGTAACCTATTGACTCCTTGAATTAGTTATTTTACCACAAAACTACACAGAACGTCTGTTTATAAAATTTGTAGCAAATAGGAATAAGTTATCCTATTGTTTTAGTGTTTTTTTGTTGTTGATAGGATTTCCATTCATTTTGATGCTTTTTAGTTTTGTTTAAGCATAATCTCTAGTTTTTAGTTTATTCCATGTACAACACTTATCTTCTTTTAGGCAGTGTTACTTCTTAAACTTTAACGTTGTTTAGTTAAGAACGATTGTAGAAGTATTTCAAAGTAAGCCAAGTTTTAAAAAAAAGGTAGCTTTCGTCACTGACTGACATTAATAGTATAAAACCAATAAAAACTAGAAAGCATTAAATGGATAGTTTGCTTTTCTTATTCTTAAACATCTAGAAATATATTCATAAATTTGCAAAAAACTTAAATTTCATGACTTTCATATTTCTAAGCACCATACATTTGGAATTATCGAATCTTATTACATTACGGTTACTCCAAACGAAACTTTCCTCTAAATCTCTTTGGGTTTTAAATAATTTCACATTTGATTTCAATCAGTTATAAAAACTATATTTAGATTAAACTAAACTCCACAAAACATTTTACTAAATAAATCAGATAGGGTTCTATTGGGATCATCACTGGATCACAATTCTCTCTGACATTTTTCTGAAAATACTACAAAATAGTTCACCTCAGAATGAAATTAGCTAGTTAGAATTTTTTTCGCGTTACATTGACTCCATAGTGTAGTAAACGAAGAATTCAGGTGGAAAAGACCAATTTATTTTTTAATATAAAATTACAGAGTGCTTTCATACAATATGAAAACCATACATTAAATACTTCATTTGCACATTTTCCATCTGTTTTTTTCTTGCAAACTTCATCGTTCCTCCATTTCTGTTGTTATTACAACCACTCTCTGTTTACATTCCTATTCTCTTCAATTCGATCTTCTCAACCTTCTGCTGTCAGGCATTCCACTCCTGATTGGTGTTACATACTACTTATATCTGTCAATGTAAGTAGCATGCATCATAATAGTACCGGTTAGTATTTGCTATCGTAATAGACAAAATTGATCTGCCTGAATGTTTTAGCAGCATTTATTCATCTAATATTTTATACCAGAGGAAGAGTGTAATGGTAATATTTTATTTTTAATTGTTTTTGTCTATAAGAAGATTGAATGTACTGTTAAAAATTGCTTATTCAAAGTCATTATCATTTGATCAATATTCTTAATTTTACAGTTCTATACGTGTTAGATATAAAAGAAAGCATAGTGGAGAGTTTAATACATCACATCAAACTTATTTACTCCGATGTTACTATTGAAGAAGAGTTAAGTGACATTCACAACTTACACAGTATATGAACTCGTATCCATTAACATTTGTCAACAAACAAATAATTCAAGCTAGTAGAAAGTTGACGATAAAGACCATAAATAAATAGATTTTTCAATCTTCTATAAACATATGAATTATTTTTTGATATGGCTCAGAATCGATCACAATGGCGTAGATGTATACACTGTTTGTCTTTTCTTAAACCATGATATTAAAATTACTTTTCACCTTTCTTTTCATGAACTAATTCTTCCTTCCTGTATTATCTCCTTATATACAATCTTCCTTTTATATATTACTACCAATGAATTAACTACTTATATGATTTTGGTGTCCATCTTTTGCTAATGAGCTGTGGCAACTTGGACCGACGTATATATGTGCCTGGTCCTGTGTTGTGACTGACTTTAAAATAACATTATTATTATTATTATTATTATTATTATTATTATTATTATTATTATTATTATTATTATTATTATTAATGGTTTGTGTTCAATAAATATGTCTGATAGTGAAAGAATGTAGGAATACACCTTTCACATTATATGATTTCCTATTTTTTTTCCCAAATTGTATCGTGCGTAACAAGTGCATTGACTATTGCCATATGTAATTAAGTTAGACTAAAATAGTCAGGCAATTTTAATATTAATATAATCCAAGTATTAGATATGCAAACAATTAATGATAAAGGAATATTTCTTATGGTTTAAAAACCAATCAAATGATCATGAAATTTCATCCTCTAAATACAACTTTTGAAAATAAAGATAGTATCCCTAATTTTAAGTTTGCTTAGTAATTTAGTATTAAAACTATGATATTAGTGATGATTTCAGTATTTTTGTTTATGAAGTTTCAAGTTCAGAGAGATAAAATCTATTAATTATGCTTTAAATACATATTACAAAACATAAAAATGGTCTAATCAGATAGATTTTAATGATATGTGCCAGAGTAAAACTATTACAATAATGAGAATGAATTTGCAACAGCAAAAAAAAGCCCAAGAATTAACAAGACTTAACAAAAAAACTCCAGTACCTTTACACCTCACTTATCCACATTATTATTATTATCACAAAACAATATTTGACTTGTGCTTGCAAAAATTTATTGTTTTTTTTCCATAGCGAAAATACACCTTACATGTTTAACCAACGTAAAATTACAATTAAAAAAAAAGAATGAATAACTTATTCCGATTGATCTAGTCCTTTGAATAAATTGTTTGATAAGATTATTCAAATCAAATTTTGAAGAGTAAAACTTCCAGCTTAGACAATCAGAAACCAGCCTTTGTAGATGGATAGTTTACGAAAAAATAACAATATTAAAAATTGTAAACAGATTTTACATATTTAATCAATCTGTGAAACTCTTCTACAGGTTACTCTCATTGTAAATTTAATAAAAAACGAAACATACAAATGTTCGTTCTTATGAACATAGATTATCCGTCTTTTAAGACTTGTCACATTCTTCATTCCGTTTGACTCGTCCACATACTTTTTATTTTTACTGAAAATTCCTAGTGTTGATTTGTAACTTAATCATTTCCCATCATTTATTTATTTGCATGTAGTTCGTACTTTAATTTTCAATATCTCGTCGTAGAATTGTATAATTTACGATTTTAATTTAAGTCAATCAATATGAAGTTACATTTATTGTTTGTGTGATCCTGTTATCTGAGTTTACTCATATTTGATAATGTATATTTTATTGCTTAAATTCGGTTAATCTTATGTGAATATCGGTTTTATCATAGAAGTAGTAAAGTGTGTTCAGATTGTATATGTGTACTGATTGTTTTTTTTCTGCGTTGTATTGACCATATAAGTTATTAGTTGTTATTGTACTAAATGGATTTTTTTTTGCCATACAAGTTGCATAGTCAGTCAATTGACTTCACTTCTTTTTCCAGGTTGGATGTGAAATCAGAAAAGATAATTCTTATTGATATTGGTCATAGTATTATGATATCTGTTCACACACTATAAGCTAATATTTCTCAACGTCAGTACAGTGAACGCGACGATTACTATCGTCTTCTTTCCTGCCTCACTTTCCAGAATAAGAAGTCTAGTTTCATATCGGAAGCTTTGTTGATAGTGGTCCCCGTATTATGGGAAATAAATTTAAGTTGATTGGTTGTATTATCAATTACTATGAATATAATTTATGAACTACATAATTACCACTAAACACAAATCTTAGTACAAATACATTGAAGTTGATAGTACAATGTTGTGAAAGTGTTTTAAAGGTTGATAGTACTTTCATTTTAAGTCTATATTAATTTCCTGATAAGTTGTATTTGTGGATTACACATCTCCAGAAGTTATAAAACAATATATCTTTTTTTAAACGTCTGACAACTGACCTTTAGTTTCCCTTATGGAGTAGTAGTGACATCAACATAGTAACACAACTTTTACAATCGATTGTTAAAATTTACGAGTATAATTGATAATGTTTTTCCTTGACATTTGGACTGCTGTTTTCTATTGCCATGTAATTCTTCACTTTTGAATTAATGCAAGTTGGTCTTTTCTGTTATAGTCAATGTACATCAAAGAAAAAATATATGTAAAGCAATTTAGAGTAGTTGCTTATCAATAGACGCACAAAAGCACAAAAATGAATCCGAAATAAAATGTATTCCTTAAATCGCTGGCGTAAAATGTACAAAATAAAAAACACGAGTATATATTGCTATCTTTGAAAAGATTACGAGTTCGCCTAATCTGCGAACGGAACGAAGACCCAGTGACACGATGACCAAATAAGCTAACAATTCCGATGCGTTCGACCTCGTCTAACTACAGAAAAGTCCAGGTTCAGCAGTGGCAGATGTATTCCAAAAGCACAATTCAAGCGTGTATATAATATATATATATATATATATATATATATATATATATATATATATTACAGGAGAAAGACTTCTAAGACCTAAATTTGTTCACTGGTACCCTTTGGTTTAAAATGAATTAGTTAGCTTGTGTAAATTTTTCTTGCACTGAGGATACGATCGTTAAGCATCTATTCTCTTAACAGAGTAAAACTCAACCGATAGGTAGTAGAGTAATTCAGTGTAGATAAAGAAAACTGATTCAAATTTCATGATATTGTTTCCTATCTGAACAAAATTCGGTTGTTTTTTTATTAACTCCTTTTCTTTCTTTCCCAATCCAGATCGATCATGATAATAATCACGATGTTAATCGTGAAGCAGATTTACTCAATTTCGGCAATCCTGGTACTGTATACAATGAGGTCCAGTCAAAACCAAACGGATCATCTAGTCTATTAGTTGATATAATGGGTAATGGTTTGGCTTCTCCAGATATGAACAATTTACTTCATGCCAGTGGTGATCAATACATAAATCATAAAGAATTCACAAAGTCTGTTGATGATCTATAATCAGTAATATGGTTGACTAATGTTATTCTCTTTTATAGAGAATATGTTTACTAATGAATGACTGGACGGTTTCATCCAGTATATGTCTTTATTTACAAAACTATATAATCGTAGAAGATTTATTCTTTAAATTTAAAATACAGCATTATACACTGCTTTTACAACTCGCTTAGTCATCTAAAATTAGATTTGCACAAGTTTGGTATGTGCCAAATCCTATCCGAGGCTGCTAATTTAAGCTAATTTTCCACAGAGCCATTCAGCGTTACCATTTTAATTTCTTTATTTTTGTTTCTCCAATAGTTTTCTGACAAAGTCACTGAATTACTAAAGGTAGTCATATTGCACAGAAATGAAATAGGTCTATATACATTAAAGTTTGCTGTCATTTACTGTTCAATATTCGTTCCTCAACTAACTTATATGATGTGTGGAATTTAACTACATTCCAAGAGGCTCTTTTGACTGTGATTTTGAACGTATGTTTTTTCCGTCGCTTGTTTGTTTGTTGTTTCTTCATCCACTATTCATTTCAGTTTTGGAAATATCTGTTGATTTTACAAAATAAATATTTGTATATTTTTGGCAAGTAACTAATTTTTATATAAGACGTATTGGCAGCTAACAAACTGTGTACTTTAAATCAGATTTTGCTATAGTGCGCTACTCACTACATACTCTTTGTTGAAATCTTCCGTGAATTAAAACACCCTAAACAATTTCAAGATTAATTTTAAAGTTTCATTAGATGTTATTGTTTAATAAAATACATTGTATTGCAGTGAGCTGACGAAGTTATTGATGTGTACACTTCTGTTCCTTCCTATGAAGTGACTGTACCTGTATGTTCATACACCATCTATACATTCCTAGCATTATTAAAGTGTAGTGTGTACACCTAGAGGGTAGGGTAACTAATTTGTCAAATTTTTAAGCATATGAAGTAACAGAAAAATATGTTTTATTTACAACGACGGCTGCTGCTATGTAGACAACGCAATTATCGCAAGGCTACCAGTCAGAAAATGAATAGCAGGCAACTATTTAAAGCTTTTGTGAGGTTTTAAGCTGGTTACATTCGTATTTTCAATTTGATCGGCGGTCAACTTCAAATCTCAGTTCTATTTACTATTTTCCTTTCCTCTCTCTCATGTTTACCAGCTTTCCATTTGTATTCGTAATTTTATATTTTTTGTTCTATCAATCATAGTTACGGAAATTGATCAGTTACACACACAATTCTCAAATTATCATGTATATAAACTGTTCACTGAACTTACGTAATCCATATTTTGGATTTGTCGTGTTTTGATGTGACCTCAGTTGACCAGTATTTCAAATAAGGGCTTCAACAGACGAAAATATTTATTTTCAGTCATTTTATCTCACAATTTATTTCTACCATCACACATATTTTTCTTTTTGTCAAAAAAATACCTGATTATCATTTTAGGTGTTAGGAGGTAGTCGACAGGGTCTCCTTTCGGTTATCTTCAACCGTACAACACGTTAACGTGGCGTACACTGTGTTGCATCACTCAGACTATTGGCCACATCTTGGTCGATGGGATTTGATCAATACCAATAGGTCTAGAAAAGCATGGCATTTGTCACCGCTCAGTAATCAATTAAATTTTGAGTAGATCATGATATTTTTTTCATTTTAGGAGAAAATATCTGGAATTCTCATTTATGAAAAAGACCTTATACAATTTTTTTCCAACACGTTTTGAGTAAATCTCTTTAATTTTAGTTTTTTGTTCATTATATAAGTTCTTGTTATTCTGCAGTGTTATTCTTTCTGCCTCTTTGTTTCCAGCTTTTTGACAAGGCATAATGCAATATTATATGAGAATTCTCTTATTCGTATTGGTATTCGAATGGAATCTTGTGGTCAGTTTTGTCGTTTAGGTGTATTCTATGGGAACAAATCTCCTCATCCATTCACAGTGTTTTGTTCTCAAGTCACTTGTCCAGATGCAATGGATGTGAACGAATTGGCTAAAGCTATTTCCATTGAACTTCAACCTGGTCCTGATCGAATTGAAGCAGGGACACAAGTTCAACAAACACTAAATGTTGAATGTTTACGTCCTTTTACTGAAATAGTAAAACTTGATGTTTCTTACTTGTAAGTAAATTTCTTTATCAACTTTTTTTCACTCTAATTCATTTAGAAACTATTGATTTTATATATTTAGCTTTCAGGTACACCTTATAATATGAGTCGATTGTCAGGTTCAAATTTGTTATCCGATGCCCATTAAAAGAATTTTATGAAAGATTTTGTTGTGTCTTGACTGAAAGACTAGAGAGCAGCGTATTATCGATCGGATCAATGACACGTAAACACGTAAGGACGACTTAGAGTCCCGATTGGCCCTGCTTCGCTGTCTAGCCCAGCCAGTTGAGTCCAGAACACAAGTCACAGCCTCTGAGATATGAATCATTATATTTCAAACATACTTTGTTTATATACCAGTCAAGCAGACCACAACGTACCATAAAATAGAAAACAACATTTGTACAATATTTGACAAGTGAAATAAATATCGACCAATAGGGAGTGTACATTTAAAGTCCAAGGCCACCATTAAACTTAACATGATAATTATTGGTATATTTTTCTGCACATCCTAACAGATTTAAAGAATAATCTATTTCCGGTTATCTTAAACTGGGCTCTAAAATATCAAACTTGTTAATATGATCCTTTTTCTTGATAAATTGGGAACTGTGTGGGATGAAAAAGGACAGTAGTAGCATTTCAGAGATCTCATTTTTTTCCGTCATTGGTCGTCATTTATTGGAGTTATCGTTTATTTTTCAACGTTAGCTTCAGCTGTTTAATCAAATTACAGATAAATGGTCATAACAGTTTTCTTAGACCCCATATTCAAAACTCATTTTGGGAATACAATTATCCTCATATTCTTTAAATCGATCTAAGTTAGACACCCATTAAAAACCTTTGAACACTGGACGGTCGTTCCGTACTATTATGAAACTCCTCATGAGCTCTTATCCAGGACCGTGGATCTCGCACACGGACGATTAATATTGTCTCTAAATAAAAACCTCTCACAATACTGCTGCAAAAACATTCCATTTTACTGTGAATAATTGAAATCGTAATTTTCTATGTGCATTTCTAAGTTTGATCTTGTCGACAGTGATCTATTTATGACCATAACTATCCATATCTTTGTTTTTCGAGAATTTTTTCTCTACATTTGTTGTAAACTGTAACCGTTAGAATATATATTAGTAATATAAATAGCCTATGCCAGGGTATTTTACGTATATAACTTAAATATATTATTGTTACTATTATTATTACTGCCAACCTCATTAGGTAGTCATTAATCCGGTGACCAGTTATCCGTTTTCGATGTAAATATCACGTATTAAAGTTAGCTCTAGAAAAAATTGATTATTGTTTTTTCTTAATTGGTCTCACTTGTGCATATACACGTAAAATCGTAGTTTTATTCACCCGTCTTAACCTGTAACATCCTATATTTGTTTTCTGTGGTTTTTTTAAATAGATGTGAAGACTCGAAACAACGTTATGCTCTTATGCTTCCAGTAACATTAAATAAATTCCTTCAACCTGCAGAGATGGATCAAGCAACATTTTTCTCTCGGTGGAAATTATTGTCTCAGTAAGTTTTACTGTGTTAGTGAAAATTTTGGGAACTAATAGTTTTTGTTCAGAGATGGCCAAATAGTTTATTTTTGTGTGGTTATTTTATCAGCTCTTGAATGCCTTGTTTATACTAACCTCTAAGTAATTTGTGTGATCGTTATTATACAAACAATTACCTCTCGGCTAAAAGAATGATTAGATGACTTAGGCACTAAGAATAATATATCATAGATTTCCGGTGCGGGGAGTAGTTTTTGAAATGTATGGAGCTAATACAACGAAATTGGTTATGGAAGAAGAGGGAAATTGATTATGAATACATTGGTCTTGAATGCTGTTAGAAATGTGAGGGCAGTTATCACTTCCCGGTTGCCCACACCGTGTGAGGGTTTTTTTGGAGGTACCTGGAAGAAAATTGTGTAGGGCTGGTTTTAGTTACCTGAGAGCGTGACCGCAGTGCCGGAGGGATAACTGCTTAAGGCCAGTCACACACGACCTTTTTGTGAGTAATTTTCGCATTGGCTCCGTAATTACTGGAACCTTACCGCTGGAGACGGGAATTCGCGCTATATGTCGAGATGTTCATTTTCAGAGTCGATCTTTTATAACCCCACTCCTCCTTATGGGAAGTCAGCATCGCTGTTTTCCTGGTTGTCTGAAGGAAACACCCTACTGCCGTCACACCTCTGTATAGTCGTCAGTACGACTTCGCCTTCGGACTTTGGCTTGCTGCCTTTAGTCTTACCGCTCTTCACTCGACCTGTCTAGTATGGTAGGACCTTGAGGAACGATTGTTCCAACCAGTATAGCTCGATTGGTTCAAGGTAGCAGGAACAGTCAGGGGCCATGGAAAATGTTTTGATTGTGATTGGTCTGGAGCAATTGTCCTTTGAGCTTTGTAACATACTTCCTGTCGGAACGATCTTCAGTTCTGATTCGGCTTCCTCTTTAGTACCCTCATGAAACAATTTTCTTCCATGATGTAGGTGACAGAAAGCGTCAACAGCCTGCATATCTCTTCAGTAAAATACATGATTAAGGATAATTAGCGTTATCTCAAGTTTCCATACAACAAGAGGAAATTAATGAGATGAATATTAGAGGAGACTGGTTGATAGTGGTAGCATTGATAATAAAAAAGTAATAACCATTGAGTATATGGCTTATTAAGACAGAGGAAATGTAAATGCATATGAATATTGGCAATCAAGTTCTTAATGAACTTAAAGAGTGAATGCATCTGAGTCATTGTGACCGATTTTCAGACGAATCACCCATTATCTATTTGCAATCACCGATCGCCGTTTTTACTCGTATTCCAGTTGATGAGACGGATGTCTGTGGGAACTATGTCAGCCTCTAGTCTACTCGGGCTGATGAGACTTCCAAGATTTGTGAAGTTGTTAACACAGTCAACTACTTCACTCTATGACCGACGAAGGCTATGGTGCAAACCAGTCCTAAGGCAACATTTTGTATTTAATGAGGGAGGAATTCACTTCAAATCTCTAACAGCACATAAATTCATCTTGTCCACAATCTTGAAACTGATCATCTTTTCTTAGCCACCATGTAAATGATTTAGGTATCTGGTTACAATTCAATATCTGAGAGGCTCAACTTTTAATAAATTGTTTAGTCGCACATATAAATCCTTTTTCACCGCCTTGAATTTAGGTAGTTGGTTAGTACTACTATCGCAATAAACATTCGTAACGCATCTTTTATCTACTGAATTCGCGAGAATCTCAGTTAAACTGGAAAATATTTAGTTTGCGAGCCGGTATTTATATCGATTACCTTTTGAATCTAGTGTCAACCTTATTGTACTAACATTTTTCTGCTTTCCGATATTTGTATTCTCTGTATTTAGTTTGGGAAGAGATTTAGTTATGAGCAGCTAAAGGTTCTTAATGGAAATCCCTTTGATATTCTTTTTTTATACTGATTTTCCTTTGTCCTGCTAGACATGATGTTATATCTCGTTATTTGGGGTTCAGTGCGAGCTTAAACTACTTACGGAATCAAGAAAGTGATTGAGCTACTCTAGTTACGAGCCGTTCTTTTCGTAATCGATAACGGCAACTTGTACATAGCACATTTACATCTTATGACTAACACATGAAGGAAGACGAATTGTTGGATAACTTGATATTCATGGTAAAATAAGCAGTGTGTACAAAGAATTAAATTGGAAAAATTGTACTTGCAGTTATTGTTTCAAGTTGGATTAAAGCATTTCCGACAAAATTTGATTAATGTTGTGATCACCTTGGCAAATAATGTTATTTCTGATATGTTAATCAATATCACTTTTTACGTTTACCAATCAAAATCCTGATTATGATTTCTTTGTCCTTCCTACTTAATTGCGTTTATAGCCTGTTGTCTTAATCCTTAACCAAATGATACTTTTCGAGCGACATGGTTAACCTTGTGGTGATACTGACGAACGCTTATTTATTTATTTGAACACATAAATATTGGTACAAGAGGGCATCAAATAGATATGCGCCACACCATATTTGTGTGTGTGGGCTGAGATACTGCCCGGGTGCCCAGACCGAAGCAGGTGGTTTTCTTAGAGGGTCACACCCCGAGCCTTCGACCTGAAGGTCTGATCCACAAGGCAGTGGAGCATCGTAAGGAGATGCAGTCCCATGGTAGCCGGTGACCAGTGATTGGTTCATACGCCATTTGTTCTTTCAGGATACTGGAGCCCATGTACACCATTGGTTGGAATCCGATTAAAGCGTCGGACATTCGCTTTTCGTCCTCTCATTTTCGTAAACAACAGTAATGCCACGAGAAGGCAGTGAGTAGGACTTCTCTGACAGAGGCTGTATACGCATGGCCATGTGAGAGCATTTCGAGAGGAAGGGCGGGCCCACTTCGTCCTCGGCCATACCACGGCATTTGGGGGCACTGACGAATGCTTCACTCCTATTGATCAGTTGCTTCTCAGCCTTGAATCCAAATAAGAGAAGATCACAGCTCCTGTTATTATTACCATTATTATTTTTATTCCGAGGATACAGGTTTATATACAGACATACCCGGCTACATCATTACTATAAAATAGAAGATAGTATTTATACACAAAACAAGTCAAAGTGGCAGTGAATCGGATATGCAGTAAATACTTGATTGTCAATAGTTTCGGAATAGTAAAAAAGTATGATATTAATTAGCTAGTTCAACGGAAACTTGCAATAAACAAAATGTAGTGACGCAGTAGTCCAGTTATTTAAGTATTAAACAATAGGAATATAAATAATCATAGTCCATAAAATAGTTCCAAGAGTTACCATTAGTATTGTCATTCGAAAAGCACCTAGAAATTAATCCTTATTCCACAGTATGTAGGGATTCTGCTTGCTTTTGAGTATCGTATATAGTAAACTTGAAACTTTGTAGCTTGTTTATTTGAGAAAAGCCAATTATCCTACGTTTTTCACTATTATATATAAGACCATTCTTTTCACGATCTATTTTCTTTCACTTTTAGACCTGGACGAGAATGTCAAAAAATTAATCCTCCACTGTTCTCATTAGAAACATCTTTCCTAAGAACTACTGTAAGTTTTACAATCAGTATATGTACAATTATTAAAAGAATGTGCTTCTACATTTTTTCTTTCCTGGTGTATTATATTTTAAAATAATTCAAAATGAATAAATGTTAAGTATCTTCTGAAATTATGCAAAATTGTGTAAAGAAGACCTGTTTAGTACTTCTGAATTCTAGAAAATTCCCATATTGTGAATTAGAACAATATTGTTTTCGTTTAGGTCCTCATCACACTATCAATTTGTACTGTTTACTTATTGTGTTTATGCTATTTATTCCACAGTCATCACTGAATCATAAACTGTCTTGTTTGGCTTAATAATTTCGTATATGCATACAAATATTACTGTATATTAGAGTAAGGCCTGATGAAGGTCTAATCGAAAACAATATTGTTCGCTTATATATGTTGTTCTATTTCTGAATTCCCATATATTTACGATATTTGTATTTCCACTTCTTCATCATGTCGAACATTGCAACAGTTTCTGGAATTTCTACTAGAATCTGCCTATATTGTCAATGTACCGAATTGCTCGAATGTTGAATTTACTTATTTGAAACTTATACCCTTAGTGATTGGTTCTCAAGGACACCTCTTATTTTTCTGTTTCAATGTGCAATCATGGAAAGATGATTATATTTTTCAATCAGTTTTTCATCTTGTAAGATTTTTAATTCATAGTGATTGTGAGATTGGTAGAAAGTAAGCTAAATAATTTCTTATTCACTGATCTGATTGATCTATCTATAAACTATTTGTTGTCATTTTAAAAAGTATAGTTGTAGAACTGGACAATTGTCTTAACTTCTCAATAAAATCAATAAATAGTTAATAATGTATTAATTAGTTTGCTATAGTGTAACTAGTTACTGGTTTTAAGGAAACTTTATATATGTGAACTAGGTGGTTGATATACTTAGTCATAATTGTCCACTTATGTCTCCGATTAATCTCTGTCCTCACAACACCTATAAATTTGATGGCTTGTAGATAGGTCAGTACGTAAATGTGATTGAGTTAAAGTTTATTTGTAAGCTAAATTGTACCGAATTTGCTAATGTAAGTACTAAACATTTAACAAAATTATGTTTTACTGTATCAAACGTGTTTACATATTTACCATTACATTAAGTATACTAGTCGTACTATTAATACATGATATTGAATTTTTTAAAATCAAAAGTATTATATTTGTTTGGAAACGATCCGTAGTCTCAGTCGAGTCAATAACAGATCATGACCATTTTACTCCTATGTATATATTTGCACCCAGGTTGTAAAGCTAATCGGTTATTGATTCTCACTCGTATTTAACTTATAACCTGATGAGCTGTTAATGCAGTAAACTGGTGGTCATTCATTTTCTTATCAAATCTAACCTACGGAAGTATAATAATAATAATAACGATAGTCACTTTATTCCGTATAATATATTTGATAACAATAAGATATTCTAAACAGAGAATTTTAGTATGTAAATATTGTAATTAACATTTCAAGTTGTAGTTTTTGCTACTCGACTTCAATCGCGATTACTTTCGGCCAATTCTCTGATTAGTATTATTCTGATAACAATACGTACATTAGGCAGGGCTTGTACTGTGGTTTATACACATGAATTATAGTGTAATTGAGGATCATTATTGGGAATTATAAACAAAGAATAATGTATTAACTACTCTACTGTTTTTGACAAAGTTTTAGTGTATTCAGCATCGCAATAGTTTGTACATTTTTATAAAAACAATTAAATAAAAAAAATTATTTCTATCTTTGTCATCGTAAAAGAGATAGACTATATTTCAAAGCTAACCTTCTGTGTTTATATTAATTAGGTAATCCAGTGAATGAGCCCATCATTTTCTGGTGACAGTTTAGGGAATTTGAACATAAATTTTTGAGCCTACTATTCTTTACCTTTGTCATTCCTTTTGTTCACATTATTGAATCCATCTATACCATTCCATACTGCAGAGTCAAGGAATTAGTTTGCTAATCGATATCAACATATCAGCATACTGATACACCGAACAAATCTGAGTAGTTCTTGCTCGTCAAATCATACGATTTACTGATACTGCAAATCATATTATACATATTCTGAAGTATTCTTACCTCCCAACAGTAGACGAGTAATTCGCTTCACTAAAACATGCCATGAAAAAATCCTTATATCATTATTAGTTTTCATAAAATATGTGAATATATCTACAATGTGTATGTAAATTTTGAATGTGGTACTTAAATTTGAGCATTATGTACTTAACCTAATTCATGGTTTTCACCTAGATATAGCAATTTAAAATAAAACCAAGATTTACGATTATTTAAACTCTCCGAATTGTATATTTGACTCATAGTTTGATTACACGATACTATCTTAGATGATTGAGTTTTTTTAATTTTCTGGAATTCGATTTCAATCACCTAATTAATAACTGAGATTCACACAATGTTTCTTTTTTCACGTATATCACTTATTCAATTTTTGTCAAAATACCATTTCATAATGACTAGTTAATCTCAACTTTACCAGCATACTGGTTTCTAAAACAAGTTATTTCTATTGCTCAATAACACTACTAAATCACTATATAGTAGTGTTTATTGTGTAGTAGTCCTTCTTATATTTGCAGTAAATGTAAAGCTCATTCGTTCACATTATATTTCTATTTAGAATTCTATTGATTGTATTTTTATTCTGTTATTGGCTGTAACTGCTGTTCACGTTGACTTCTTCATGTAAAATAATTACTTTCATTATGTCCGGTGTTATATTTATTTATAGACTAAAAACTTTGGATTCGGTTTATTGGATGGAATTGATCCTAATCCAAATAATGTTGTTGGTGCAGGTATTGTTGTAACTAGTAGTCAACAAGTCGGTGTACTACTTCGATTGGAACCAAATACACAAATAAAGGTATATTTTTAATTATCGAATGTACCCTCCTAATTAATACATTAATTTTTGTTAAAAAGAATTCTTAACATATTTGATAGGTATATACGCAGATACATATTCTTGGCTTTCAGCTGCACTGTTATTTCAAGACCTCATGATACTAGTCGGTTGTACAAACCAAACTAGGTGGAGGGGATTTTAAAAATGGAACTTGGGGGATGAATGCCTATTTATACATGCTATCAAAAGGATATTATTGATTGTTTATTATGCCAGAGAGATTAGTATAAATGAAAGCAACTCAGCAGACTTTTCCTGTGATCAGTTAGGATTCCTCAAATAACTAGTTGCTGCAGTAAATTTATACATTTTTTAATCAATTACTTCTATAATAGTAGTTAATCGGTGGAATACTTTTATAATAGATACATAAGTTACATTTTTTAGCCTAACTATCAAATGTAATTATACTAAAAATGAATTTTCTTCCTGTTTACCTTTTTTTTGGCGGATACTCTACGAACAATATGTAGTCGAAACACTTATAATCTTCTAGATCGTTAGATTTATTTTGTTGTTACTTGAATATTGGTATGCTTGGTATGAAATGTAGAACCTCGGTTTCTTGTTTGTTGATACCCGTCAACATAGTACTTCATACGGTAGTGCAACGTAATGATCAACTATTAATTCTTGAGCATGACTCTGTGCCAATGTCTTTGTGTTGACGAATAATGATAACATCGAGCTACCTAAAATGACTTACATGAAGCCGGTTTTCAGTCTACTGTAGCTTCAACCTTGAGGCGATTGATGCTTCTTGGAATACAGGACACTTAAAATAGTGTAGCAATTGTAGATGTTACACTTTTTAGATATTTGTATGGTCATTTAATTTTGTGACTCCTTTTAAACTGTTCGTTAACCGCGTACATAGGCATTATATATATATGCAGTACCAGTCTTTGCAGTGATATGATTACTGAAACAGATTTGCACTGTGTCTGAAAGAGTTTTTGTGATGAACTCTTGAATATTCGTCTTTTAAAACTATACATTGATTACTTTATGGACTTTCACTCTTGGTTACTTGGTAATATTGATGTTACTATAAGGTTGGGATTATGTTAATGTGTTGGGGTACTGTCTAATTAATAATCTTTAAAATCATCCTCTTTTCTTGTTTACGATTCTCATTTATGTTCTTGAAATATTTTAAAATTGTTATTCATGTTTCTGCATGATAAAAAGTTGACCAGATCATTTATTAAACACTATTTATTATTGTCGAGTTCTTTCTTATAACCTTTATAGATGACTAGTGCGTCATTTTGCGACACCATGACAAACATTTATTCTACACTCATCATACTACTTATTTTTAAAAACTAATATAATTATAAAATAGAAATTTCGCAGCGATCATTTGTTAGTGTACTAAAATACTTTATTTTTAGTGAAATTACCCTTACCTATAGGAAATTCTTTGAAAAGTCGTTTAAATACAATTTCGTTTCACAATTCTGAACTGAAATCATTGTTAAAACAACCGAAACACGAGATTCATTCTTTTGTTAATTTGGCGATGTGAAACCTATTATCTTCAAACTGGAACTTTTAATAAGATATTTAAATTATTCGAAAAAAATTTGTAGCATTGGTTATTACTGTATATTTATTAAATTACTGGACTACTGTATTGCTGTGTACTCGGTGTTATGAGCTTACTTTAAACATACTGAATTTTGTTACACGTTTTAATATTCCTTAATGATTGTTAACCACTGTTTACTTCGTTTCTTGTTACTTATATCGTGATTGTGTATAAAGGATGATTTATTTATTGGGGGGGGGTTCAATATAATAATTCTTCTAAATAAACTAATAAATGTTTTTGTAAATATACTGAATGCCCGGAATATCGTGATAGAAGCTATCTTGGTTTGTTTGTTTTGCTATTGAAACTCGAAACCGCGGATGTTAGAAGGCGTGTGTGTCATTGGAACTAATTAGTTATAATTAACTGGACCTCAACGCAAAGTTAATGTTGCCAGTTAAAGCTTATTATTGTTCAAGATTTAGGATGATAAGTTATGGACAAAACAGTGTACTTTACGTAGAAATACTATAACCAGGGTTCTTATTGGTGGATCTTTCTCTGGATATCAAATAGCATTACAGTCATAGTAGTTATTGATAAATAGTACTTGGTAAATAAGTTACATTATTCTGATATAATTTAATTCAAATAACTTTTCTCTGTTATTAATACAGAAATAGGAAATGTAATATTAATACAACGATATTGATTAAATGTGAACTAGATGAAAAGATTAATCAAATAGATCGCAATTTGATTGTTATAATATAAAATAATGTTCATTACTTTTTGTATGTACAATGTAGAGGAATTTTAATTCAATTGCATCATTACGGATAGTTTTCATTTCATCACAGGTTTTTATAGTACAATTAAGCCTAAATCCCTTTATCAATTGGATGTTTTTCCTTGATCTATGTACACTACCAACTACACATAACTGGTCTTATTAATTACCGCTTTTTTAAATTAATAAATTAAAAATCTTTTTTCTCATTTCCTTCTTATTTTTCTTTTAGATGTATTGCCTTACTATTCGCAGTACAAGAGAAATCGTCTCATCTCATTTAGCCAAACTCATTGAACAATTGATCTAAGTTGAATATTTTTGTCATCATTGTTACTATTGTTGTTTATATTCAATTAATACTCTGATCAATTTTAATGCGTCTATGATGGACCAATTCAATGGAACATTCTTTATAATTTATTTTGCAATGTGGTTTCATCTTGACAAAAAATAGATTTATAACATTAATAATGTTGATGACGATAAGCAATGAGAATTCTTTATCATTCCCATTATATATATATCGTTGTTATTAATGTCGTTGCCGTTGTTGTTTTCTCTTTTGATAAAACTTTTAAAAGCATAAGGCAAATATGTTTTCTACTTTGTCCTTAGAATAAAAAAAAATCTCTCGCTAGTTTTACATGCACATGTGTATGTGCATTCCTGATTGAATTGTATTTAATTTACTCATTTCTGTTTTATGCTAAGTTTTCTTTCATCTTTCTCTCTATGCCTATCCCTCTTCTGTACTGTTTGATTATTTAGTTTAACTTATACCTACCTGTCTACTTAATTACTTGTAGAATATTATTTGTTAGTTAGTTTTCAATCTGTTTATGATTATTTTAGTCATTACTTGTTTATTATTTCATGGTATTCTATGATAATAGTAATAATAACAATGTTCTGTTTTGCGTGTTCGCCATATTATGACATTTAGTCATCATAATCATCATCGTTATCACCTAATTTCAATGAGGATTATTTTTTGTTACCATCTACTAATCATTTATATTCATTCAGTCACTGATACACGTGTTAATTGGCTTCACCAAATTCATTAATCAATCACTCCACATTCATTGTGATTTATTTTGCATTTCTATAAATACAAAGTTAGACAATTAATTTTTTTTTAAAACAAAAATTATAATTATTTCCAATTGTTTGCTCTATTATAATTGTCATCGTTTCACTACACTGATGATGATGATAATTATTATTATTATTATTACTATTATTATTATTATGGAAATTATCAAACAATGTGATTCTTTTTTCTCCCTCCTTATTTATCTTTGTTACTGTTGCTTTTATGTTAGGATCTGAAAGTGTTAAAGCATATTATTTATTGTTCGTGATTTATATATATATATATATATATATATATATATATATATATATATATATCAAGTTTCACTTAGAATTACGGTTTTTGTTTTGGAATCATTTAAACTGTTGTCAATGCTGTGTATGGAAAAATGAGTGGATGGGTGTGTATAATGTATGTTTGTTCGTCCAATTGTTGATTATTCGTTCATTTTCATGGCTTTTGTTTTCACTCAATAAAAATATTCACTGTGTAGTTGGGATTAACGTGGTTGTTATGTCACTGACTGATCATAATACATATTCTTAGTATGTTTGTTTCAGTTACTGACATTGAAACGTCAACAAGCATAATCGTCCAGATGATATTGTCGAAACTACCGGAAATCAGTATTAAAAAATGTGTTTAGAAGATAAGAAGTAAATATGTTTATATTTTTTCATGGCTCACGATTTAATGAATTATTCTATGCTTTATTCCAAATTTGTTTCCGTACATGTCAGACCACCATCAATTTATTATAATCAACGTAGGGTCTACTGAAAATCTGCATTAGTTTAAGTTTTCATACTGAAGCACGACTAAATGAAAATCGGTAGGAAGAGAATAATAGTGGTAACAGTGGTGATAAAAAACTAATTGAAAATATGGTTCCTAAAGATTGACGGAATACTGGAAGTCAAGTTCTAGAATAAGATAGATGCGTTTGTTCTGTTGTAATCGATTCTGAGCCATGCCACCCGACGTATTCAACCACTGATTGCGGTTATCCCGGCGACCCTAACTAAGCATTTTGAAACTACTAAAGTCTGTAATTTTATGAATTGACCAAACTACTATATAGTTGATAAGGAAATTTTCACACCATTTCAGTTATATGGATATTCACATCGTCGTAGGCTGAATTAGTTTCTCGAATTATTTGCGTAACTGTTGTCAGTTGTTATTGCGTTTAAAAAGGTATTACAGTTTTCACAGCATCATGGTAAGTCACTGGTAGTTGTTATGGTTTTTTAAGAATCTGAATTCAGTATATTTAACTGTCAGAAAGTTGGTGACATAAGCTTGCGCTATATTGCTTCTACAAATTAAAACTCATGAAATTACACACAAATCAAACACTCAATGCTTAATTCGGAATTTATATTTTAATCTTTTTTAAAACAAGACAATCCAATATTGAGATTGAAAATTGTCTTCCATTGACCTATACTTTTGTTTTAGAGACAAGTTAATAATTGGCATTCAATTCCTGTAGATCCACAGGATTTCAATTTGTTTTCGACTTTAAATAGTGGTCAAGCTTTCCGGTGGGTATCGCTTTTTTAGGGACTTAAGTGAATTGTATTTTTTTCCAGGGAACTAATGGTATTGATATTATTTGTATTACAGCGAAATAGGAAAGTGGAAAATTTTGTTAAATGGGATCTTATTCTAAAATGCTTAAAAAACTTTTTCGTAAGATTTTGGTAAAATACTTCACTTGAATTTTTGTCATGTACTTGTCTGTTATCGATATTGTTAGTGTTAATATAATTGTTTAGATAAATTAGCTGATATTCAAAACAGCATTCAGTCGTCTAACTTATTATTTACTGCTATTATACTTTCAAAAATACCATATTCCACTTAATCGTCAGAATACCTTTTGTGATCTATCTATGTCTATGTAGTTTAGTTCTGAGTTGTATTGTTACAAACACTACAGAAATTATTATCTCATAATCTTTTAATATACAGTATTGCACAAATTAACATGTTCTCACAGAGCATATAGGAACGGTATGTTGTTATCCTATTGTTTATCAAAGTTTCCACTGAAGAATACAAATATTCGGTAGAGATTGAGATTTTCACCGTATTCATGTAAAAAATAATGATTTGTCTAGATATTACTGGTTAATAAAGGGTACAATGTGTTTTCTGTAGTACAGTTTCGGTCTGAGATATTCAGAGTTTTTTTTAGGTAGAGGTTACTAGTTCATATTTTCGCTAGATTTACAAATTGTTGAGTTTCGAAAAGCAGTATACAAGTGATCGTAAAATAAAATCTGGTCTACCACCGTATTATTAAAAGTTTTTCTCGATAGAAAAACTTCTTATCCCGTTAAAAATTGAATTTTAATCACCACTCATTTTATAAAAAACTTATGACTCAAAAATACGGCTGTTACTGTACTCAACGCGTTGTGAATACGTCGTAACTCAGTGATTGTTATGTTCATTTCTAAAAGCACAAAACTCGAAAGACGTTTATGTTAATACTAGTAAGTGGAAGCCTCGCGTTCATTATCATGCTTTTCTGATATTCTCTGCACCTAATTTTTCATCATAAATGGTTTTGTAGCTACTTTTAAGAAGAATATTTTTAGTAGATTATTTCTCAAAATAATGCCCGATATAATTCTTATATATGTAACTGATTGTCTTTTCTTGCGAGTTCTTTCCACTTTATTCCGGTTTTGCCTTCTTTACAATCTCTATAATAACTGGAAACTCATTGCTTTTTAGTCATCCTTCACGTCTGAACGTCACCCGTCTCCCTTAGTTTCGGACAAAAATTCTCTTGATGTATCACAAAAAAATGTACGGTTTTACTTACACATGATTGTTGTAGTGTGTGGAATTTATAATCTGTGTTTAAACTAAGTCTGAAACTATATCGTTTCAAAAGATCGATAAGTGGATAAATTAAGGTATTAGCATACCTAACTGAATTTACCAAACTTGTTGATTCAGTTGTTAAGCAAATAAGCATATCAACTGATGCCACGTAATACATAGGTTGTGGAGTACGATATATATTCCAGAATTGTCAGAGGAAAATCTCCATCTTTTGTAGTCTTCATAAATAAGTTGGGTGAGACTATAATTTATGGACGATTCAGTCAGATAGGAAATAATAGATCGTGGACTTTCGTGCGAAATTTATTCATCAGTTTGGCTAAATATCGTTTAAGCATTTTAGGTAATGTTAGTTCGTGATGAAAACCCCAAATCTAGTTCCTAACCCTGACTATCAATTGTAAATCTCACTGCATTTTTTAACCCTCATTTAATCCGAGTTGGTAGGTGGATATTCTCAAGGTCATCTTAGTGTCGCCTAAAGGTCGTCTATAAATTGTATTCTCATCATAAGTTGTGAAAATTTAGGGTTTTAATAACGAACTGACATCAGCTATAATGCCAAAACTCTATTTAGCCAAATGGCTGAGTGAATTTCGCGCCGAAATTCGAGACCTGCTATCTTATACCTGATTGGGTTGTCCATAAATTATCGTCTCGCCTACTTTATTACTATGACTTAGATGGCAGTAAACCGACTTTCGACTTCACTCATTTTTATCAAGAATTATTATTTAGTAGTATATCTAGACAATTGGGATTTGGGTTGATTATTGTATACTGCTTATTATTCGTAGGTTAACTTTCTGATGATCATGTCTTTTTAGATAGTGGATGTTAACTGAGCTAAATAATAATTATAATCATAAATCCACCAAAATATGCTAGGTACAGTTTCATTCTCCACATTCGCTACTTGTTCTGCAAATCATTAAACGAACTAAAGTAATGTTTGTTTCCCATGAAGTAAACTTACTGTTCAGTTTTGTACATTTGTTTCTCTATATTATAGCTGGATTTTTAATTCAACTCTGAATGAATGGCATGGAGTAATAAATGGTCACTTATGGAGATTACGTCAAATGGAGGATTCTAACCCAGTTGAATATTATTTTGAGAAAAATTTGGGTATAAAATTAAACGATGTTCCTTTTGATTTACGTGATTACTTTAGACTGGATATGAATTTATCTGATCTTGTGAAGGAATGGTCTTTGAAGGATGAATGGTTTGAGAATCGTTTCTCTAAAAATTGTCAAATGGATACAGCTCGTGGTTTACGCTTATTAAGACAAGATCCAGAAGAAACATTATTCTCTTTCATTACATCAGCTAATAATAATTTAACAAGAATTACTAAATTACTCTGTAAATTGTGTAGTGAATATGGTAATCCATTGTACTTGGGAAATGGTGATCTAAGGCATTGGACATTTCCATCACTTGAAATACTTGCACAACCTGGAATGCAGGATAATTTGAAAAAAATTGGTTTTGGTTATCGTTCCAAGTTTATTACGTGGGTGTTCATTATTTACAATTATTTTTGTGCTTATTTTGTGTGGCGCATATATATTGGCGCTCTCTTGTACCAATATTTATTTGTTCAAATAATAATAATAATTTGTGCTCACTGGAACCTTTGTATACAATCCTTTATGTTATGTTTTATCATTAGTATATCGATACACTTTCTGATTGTCTTATAACAAAATATTCACTAAGTAAGCCTATAGAATCTCGTATCATCGATGTGAGATGCGTCTGGGAAACATGCAAACTGGATCCTAGCTTGGTCATCTGCTTAACTTCATCCAATTTATATAATGAACTCGCCTGATCTATTGTTCTTCTATCTGTATGTCCGTCAGTAACTTCTTGTGATCATGATAGGGATAGGCATAGTACTAAGTTTCAAAACGGAATGGACGCTTCTTAAATGTTTTTTGTTGACAGACGTTGCCAGCTGCTAGACTGTGATATAAGTAGGACTCAGAAATGTAGGGATAAACACCACCAGCTTTTCTGCCTACGCCCTTTCTAACTGTAGCATGGAGGAAGTAAATGGTACATTCTATCGAAACTTTCTACCTAGATATCAGAAGTAAGACCCTCAAGTGTAGAAATCGCTGCTGGTGATTTTAATATTTAACCAGTTGGTGTAATGGTCACGACAAAAACTATGCAGTTCGGAGAACAAAACTCCATCAAAATATTATCAGCGTTAAAACATAGACTTTTGTATACAAAGGGACATGGATTTCGGCTTCTGTCGTGCCCTTATAAAGGCTGATGAGAGGTTTATTAATGTAGTCATCCTATAGTGTTTCGTTGATGCCCGTTATTGACAATCGTAACAGTTGATACACTTTTCATAAATTTCTGATTTGTACTCATGAGGAAAAATACTTTGTTGTTTGAAGTATCTATCTGAAATGGATTGAAGAATTATTCTATAGATATCTAAAATATATTTGTTCATAAATTACGAGCCTTTTCCTGAATATCCTCATGTTTGAATTATTTCAGGCTTGCTGCCAACTGGCTTTTGAAAAATGGAGGTCGATCTCGTCTACTTGAACTTCGTTCCATGTCCCATTTTGAAGCTCAGGCATTTCTGCTTCAAATACCTGGAATCGGGAAGAAGGTCACTAAATTTTATTTTGTTCTTCCTTATATTTCAAATACTTTCAATGATATTATTAACACTGATCTGTTTTCCTGACTGAAGTGTATACGATGAGGTGCAAATTATCTGACTTCATGGTTAAAACAATCAAATGTTCCAACTACTGATTTACTGCAACATCCTCTAATCAGCATTTAAAAATGACTATTTTAAACCACTTCAAACACTGAATTCTATAGATATTTCATTTTCATCTCTTTCTATACTAATCATTGTCTATAGATTTCAATTTATCGTTTATTTGTAAGTTAATTTTATTACGAACTAGCGCATTAGTGGAAGAACCATTTAAAGTATGCGAGTACTAGATGGCTTTGTGATTGTAGTTTAAAATTATTTAGCATGTACAAACTAGTGATCCGGGGTTAAACTTAACCTTCAAATTTCACTGCAAGAAGGATATTTTTTGACTATTGAGTTATAATTCAATGGTACATATATTCAATTTGTTATATAGTGAACGTACATTCAGGTAAATATGTCGTGATATTTTTAAGAAGCTTTGTTTTGACACATTTAATGGATACCGGTCACTGAATCGATACGAAGTTAGCTTTCAAAGTTATGTGTAGAATTCTATCAAGCGTACACTACACTTCCAGATCTCGTTTTTCGTGTAAAACGGAAACCATGGGTTTGCACATAGATAAATCTACTCTTTGTGTGGAGAAAAATGTTTTCCATAATCTTAATTTATTTCACTCTTTCACTCGATTCCAAGATCATGCTTGCTGTTCTTAATTTTGTTCATTCTTATTTATTAACTTTATTTTAATATTTATTTCCTTTGATAATCTGATCCTTTAAATTTCTCTTCATCCTTCCCAATAATTACCTATTAATATTATCACAAATAATACTAAACATATACATTTAAATGAGTAATGTCCAACTTACTCTTACATTCCTTGATTCCTATATTATTCCCACATAATTGGATGCAGTTTTCAACCAGTTATGTAATTTTGTCCTGAGTTTACACCGTTGAGTTAATAAGTGATTACTGAAATATATATGGTTAATTGATTCATTACAATGCATTCGGTATTCATTTTAGATTTGTATATTAATATTAAGTCAGGATTTAGAATTCATTGAAACGAAGTGTTTTTCATATTCTTGACGTTTGTATTGAAATATTTAGATTAGCCAACTTTAATCAATATACTATGTAGGTGAAATCATCATGTATTGTTATCGATGATAATGTCAGTCTCACTTCCGGCATGAATGAACGCTACGTACCACTGACTTTCACTAGACCTTCGGGAATTCGTCTTGAGTCCTTTAAATATTAAAATTTATATTTTTATCCAACATGAAGTCAATTTTCATTATAGAGAAAAAAACACCTATTTAGTGCTCTTTGATTTTTATTGATAAATAACTGGCTATGTCAATTTGTGATGAGAAACTATCTGAAAACTGAAAAATCTTCCGAAACATTTAATTTAAATTCTGACAATCGATGTTTTCTCCGTTAGTTTGTCATCTGATAGCGCATGTCTAATTGAAAATTTCCTCCAGATTTCCCTAACTTGACCACAATTTTGACATATGTTGTTTTTAAATGGTCCCCTTTCTACATAATAGTTTTGCGTTGTGTCTGTTTTAGTATTTCCGAAAGTTATCCTGATTTATTGTACCAATATCTGGTTAACGTTGTTTGGAAGAGCAAACAGTCTTTAAATTTGTCATATGTATACTGTATAGAAGACATTGAAACACAACATTAACACACTTTTGTTATTTATTTTAATTTTCATTGTTATTTATTCATTAATTTTCCTTAAGGTAAATTTTATTCTCCTTTTCTGTTATTGTTGTATTTTCACAGGTTGCAGATTGTATATGTCTTATGTCGTTAGATAAATTAAATGTTGTCCCTATCGATGTTCATATGCATCGTGTTGCACGTGAGAAAGGAATTCCTGAAGCATCCTGTAAAAATATGACTACAAAATCATATGACATTATCTCAAAGTCTCTTAGTGATTTTTGGGGGAATTATTCTGGATGGGCACAAACGGTAAGTTTTCATCTACTTCACACAATATTATATAATCTATTCATGTAATTCTCACTTAAATTTATATCGGCCGAAGAAAATTAATCACTAAGTAGAGACTACATTTTAAAAGATTACAATAAAGTTATCAAGTCTGATCTATTGAACTAGGACTACACTACCCATAACAGGACAACATTTTACTGGAATCAGTTTATCCATATATATGAAGTGTACTGAGTTTTGATGAAACTAAAGCTATTAAACAAAAGACCGCTCTATTTTTGATTTTTTTTATAACTATCTATGATATGATTCATTTCAAGATTATGTTGTTCAAGTTCATTAATTTATATAATTGTGCTCCATTGCTGATATCAAAGAGACAAGACTACACATGAATTTCACTCTTTACATGTCATCGGACAGTCTTATTATATATTTCTTAAGAGATTAGGACAAAATCATGTCATGTTTAATGATGCTGTTGAGTTAATCATATTGAGATGTTGATAAATTAATTTCACTAAATGTCTCTTTGACCATCGCTGGCTTCACTAAGTTGTTAAAAGTCAAATAAGTTAATTAAGCACTATCAACAGACAGTGATTTTTCATTACGTTAGATTATCCAACAAATGAAGCGATCACTATTAAGTTTATTATTGAGAGAATGTTTCAGTGATTTATTATACGGAACATACAGATGTAATGCGGAAATAAAGTGTTTCAAAGCAAATCCCGACTGATCATGCTTTATCGTAACTTTGAGTTCCCGCCCGCGGGATTTAAACCCGAGACATTTTGTCTCACCCGCGAACACTTAACCCCTAGACCACTGAGCCGATGTGCCTAACTTCAAACAGTCCACTATATTGCGTCCCATACTATGACGAAACGGCCGTCCAGTGTTTTCAGGTTTTCAGTAGCTGTTTAACACTGATCGATTCATGATCTTAACTAGAACTCAACAATCTCCACAACCCTATGATGATAATACGCTAGACTTTTACTTCTGTTTTAGACCATGTACATTGTTTTTGTAACTAGGTAGTTTTGGAACTGCATGTATTTTTAAGACATCAGATTGATGCATAATATTAGTACGTAATGTTTATTGGTTATATATTTAATCATACGAAGTAATTTGGCTTCAGATTTAGGCGAACCGCCTACTGAAATTTGTGATTTATCTTTATCAAAGTTCTCACTATCCTTAATGAACGTTTTGTTGGGTCGGCTTCCGGAGAACTTCAACGGAGCCTCCAGTGGCCCAAAAAGGAGCCGAAGGGCCCTAGCCAATCAGAGTACGATGGAACGCTCGAGAATTCCAGCGTGGCGTGCTACCATTGGTCGGTAGCATAATATGACGTTAACGGATTGGCTGAAATATGATGTTGATTTAACAGACGACAACATCTATAAATACCCTTGATTTTCTGTACTAGAATGAACCTTGGGATAGTGTTTTCTCTCATACTTGTGTCTTCTCTCTGGAGTTCAAGTCGCTGTGTAGTTCTAGTTTGCGGGTTACGGGAATAGCTTAGGAATCGTATATAGCGTTCAACCTACACGACTTATCAGTGGCGACGGGGATGAAAACTACAATGAATATTTCCTTGGAGCAATTAGAAGCTTATATGGTGCGTCAAGAAAAGAGGTTTGAAGAGTCCCAAATTAGAATCATGGAAACCCTGATGCAGAAATTCTGCCTGTCCGAGAGAAACCCTGCTTCTAGTGAATCTCAAGTATCACACACTGATTCAGTCATTAACGCCATCCATGAATTTAATTTTGATGGTGTAGCAGGTGTAACCTTTGAGTCGTGGTTTAAGAAGTATGAAGATTTGTTTTATATTGATCTTTGCAAACTGGATGATGCTTCAAAAGTCAGAATACTTCTTAGAAAACTTGGGCCTATGGAACATGAACGCTATAGCAATTTCATCCTTCCAATGAATCCAAGAGATCTTTCTTTTGATGCAACGATTGAAATTTTGTCGCAAATCTTTGCTGAACAGTCATCCTTGTTTAATATTCGCTATCAATGTTTCAAGATGACAAAAGCAGGTGATGATGACTGGGTTAAGCATGCGGGTTTAGTAAACCGTGAATGTGAGCGCTTCAAACTATCAGCAATGACAAGACCAGTTTAAGTGTCTCGTGTTTGTGTTCAGCCTACAATCTCCCGAAGACGCCGATATTAGAACCATAATTTTGAGTAAAATTGAACAATGTTCGAATATGACACTACAAGAAGTAACCACAGAGTGTCAGAGATTGGTAAACCCAAAGCATGACACTTCGATGGTCGAAAATATTGGCCAGTTGCCATACGTTCATGCTGTAAGCGGGAAGAACAGTTCTTGCTCAAGAAAGGTATCGCACACAGGCAATCAGCCTTCATCTCCATGTTGGTCTTGTGGGGGTTGGCATTATAAAAGGTTCTGCCCATATAAGGAACATTGTTGTAGCAATTGTCATCGGAAGGGACATAAAGAAAACTGCTGCAGAAAAAGAACCCATAAACGACATTCTTTGAAGCCCTACTCGAAGAAATACAGATATGGTGCTCCAACCAACAAGATATTGGTATCACATAACGGAGCACGAAGTTGCCACCAAAGAAAGTATGTGACCTTGAATATTAATAAACACCGTACCCGCCTTCAGCTGGACACAGCTTCTGATATTACTTTAATCAGCCCAGAAACATGGAAGAACATTGGGAGACCCATGGTTTTCCCAACAACGCAGCTGGCACACAGTGCATCTGGGGGGAAGTTGAATATTGTTGGAGAAGTACCATGCATTGTTTCTAAAGGTACGGTAACAACAAATACAACATTGTATCTTACTAAGAAGCCAGCACTAGACTTAATGGGGTTGGACCTTATAGAAACACTTAAACTAGCAGATCATTCTATCAACAGTATCTGAAGACGAGTAAGTACAGACAACACCCCAGAATGGAATCAGAAAAACGCCATGCTACAGAGACACCAAAACGTGTTTAGAGAAGGATTGGGAGAATGTACGAAAGCCAAAGCACTGTTAACTCTAAAGCCTGCAGCTACTCCCGTTTTTCGACCTAGGAGACCCGTACCATATGCTGCTCTACCAGTGGTTGAACAAGAACTAGAACGACTTCAGAAACTAGGTGTCATTGAACCAGTGAATTTTTCAGAATGGGCCGCACCAATAGTAGTAGTAAAGAAGACAAATGGTAGCGTTCGTTTATGTGCCGATTACTCAACAGGGTTGGATGAAGCCTTAGAAACTCATCAGTATCCATTACCCTTACCTGAAGATCTTTTTGCTAAACTGAACGGAGGTAAGCTTTTTGCAAAGTTGGATTTATCAGAAGCTTATTTACAAATCCCTGTTGCTGACGAGTCTAAAAACCTGCTTACCATAAACACACACAAGGGTCTATTCCGGTATAATCGATTACCCTTCGGAGTCAAGACGGCCCCATCCATATTTCAGCAAATAATGGATACTATGCTACAAGATGTTTCAGGTGCTGCAGCTTACCTAGATGATATAATAATTATGGGAGTAGATAGAGTAGACTTGGAAAAGAAGCTTGACCAGGTGCTGACGCGAATAGCCGAATATGGACTTCGACTTCGTCCAGTGAAATGTGACTTCTGTATGCAAAAGGTACGCTACCTTGGGTTTATAATCGACAAAGATGGGAGAAGACCAGGTCCGGAGAATACCCTGGCAGTGAAAACTATGCCCAGACCGACGGATGTCCCCACACTACGATCCTTCTTGGGACTAGTTAGCCATTATGGAGCTTTTATTCTAAACCTTCATCAATTACGTGCCCCCCTGAATAACCTTCTGGTGAAGAATGTAAAATGGAGTTGGTCGGCAACTTGCCAAGCCGCTTTCGATGAAATCAAGAAAGTACTAGTCTCGGAACTGCTGCTCGCCCATTACGATCCATCCTTACCCATTGTAGTGGCATCAGACGCATCAAACTACGGCATTGGAGCAGTTATTTCTCACATCATGCCAGATGGATCCGAGAAAGCGATTTGACATGCGGCTAGATCGTTAACGTCAGCAGAACGTAACTATAGTCAGATCGAGAAGGAAGCATTGTCGATTATCTTTGCTGTCAAGAAATTTCACAAGATGATATTTGGACGTCAGTTCACCCTATTAACTGACCATAAACCATTACTAGCCATCTTTGGGTCGAAGAAAGGTATACCTGTATACACCACTTACAGACTGCAACGTTGGGGAACTACACTCTTGGGTTATGACTTCAAGATCGAGTACCAGCCCACTACTGATTTTGGACAAGCTGACGCTTTATCTAGACTGATTGGTTTACAAGTAAAACAGAAAGAAGACACTTTGGTGGCAGCAATCGAGACGGAAACAGAAGTACATCGAGTTTTGGAAGACGCAGTTGATGATTTACCGGTTACTTTCAAGGCCATCAAAGAAGCCACGGAAAATGACAAGACTTTAAGAGAGGTTAGTGGTTATCTTCTCACCAAGTGGCCGAACCGCCGTTTTCAAGGAGAAATGCTACAATATTTTCGCCGACGGGACTCACTTATGATGGTCGACTCATGTATTATGTTTGGTGACAGAATTATTGTTCCAAAAGTATTACGCTACAAGGTTCTGAGACAATTCCACAGCGGTCATCCTGGTATCAATAAGACGAAAGCATTGGCTCCAAGCTATGCATACTGGCCTATGATGGATCAAGATATCGAAAACAGATGCCGCAATTGTTCATCGTGCCTACAAGCAGCCAAAAGTCCAAGCAAGTGTGAACCGCAACAATGGAAAAAGCCGAATAGTCCCTGGGAGAGGCTGCATGCAGATTTCCCCGGTCCAATACGAGGAAGAATGTATCTAATCATAGTAGACGCGCTCACAAAATGACCACAAATCTACGCCATGGTGAATTGCACAGCCAGTGAAACAATCAGCAAATTATCCGACCTGTTTAGCTGCTTTGGAGTTCCGCAGACGTTAGTGACCGATAACGGCTCACAATTCACTGCAGAATCATTCAAGCACTTCTGCAACGTTAATGGCATCGTGCACATACGATCTCCACCGTATCACCCTCAATCAAATGGCCAGGCAGAGCGCTTCGTGGATACATTGAAAAGAGCACTTCTGAAAGGGGGAGGAGAAGGGACAACCGGGCAGGTGATCGCAAAATTTTTAACATCCTACAGATCCACTCCGAACCCGAATGTTCCAGACGGCAAATCTCCCGCGGAAGCCATGTTTGGAAGGCGCATTCGAACCGCCTTCGATGCCATGTTTCCATCCAAATTAGTGGATGAGCGCAGTCACGATCCAAGTATCCGAAACTTCAGTGTTGGCGACAAAGTTTACATTAAATCCTACATCGGGAAGAACCGATGGGAGCCGGGCGAAGTTGTGCAAAAACTGGGAAGAGTACTGTACAGAGTTCGAGGAGCTTTTGGGACATGTATACGTCACACAAATCAAATCCTTAAGGACAAAAGAACGGTGCAGACTCGAAGTAACCGGCCGATTTTCCCGTTAGATTTAACAGACGCCAACATCTACAAATACCCTTGATTTTCTGTACTAGAATGAACCTTAGGATAAAGTGTTTTCTCTCATACTTGTGTCTTCTCTCTGGAGTTCGAGTCGCTGTGTAGTTCTAGTTTGCGGGTTACGGGAATAGCTTAGGAATCGTATATAGCGTTCAACCTACAGGACTTATCACGTTTTCCCAGTGAAGTGCTCATTTGTTTTGTTATTTTTTGTCTACTGCATTACTAAAAACTTTTTCTTTTATGGTCTTTAATATACATTAGAAAATCTTCACCGAACTTGTCCTACTAGAACAGTGGAAATCAAGATTAATGGTTACATATCTTGTTTTTTAATTGATTCATTCGATTTATGTTAAAATAACAATAAAAGACTGTTTGATAAAATCCCTTAAATACGTCATAATTGGTAATTAATTATTTGTAATGATTTAGATCCCATCGTTTTTGTTTTTAAGATTTGCATTGTAATCAGTCATGTTTGACATATATTCATTCCGAGCCGATTGTCTCGGTACTGTTGTTAAGTCAAAAGTATTTAAGTAAAGATGGATAATGATTTACAATGGGACCCGGGGCGTGCATTTCGTTCTAGTTTGAACTTGTAAACTATATTTAATTGCATTCCAGTGTTTATTTCACTGGTAGTCTCTATCCAACTTTACTTAAATCAATTTACCTAATCAATTGAACTATAACTTATGTAAAATTAAAACGAATATTGCTAGATGAAGTTATTTCATTTCATCCCAAATTATTTGTTTTTATCGCTTTATAAAAGTTTATCAAGGGTGCTAATTGTATGAACTATGATTCCATGTATTTCTCATTTACTCCTGATAGTACAACCAATCAAATGGTCAATCAATAAAATTATTGTGAAACATTATAAATTAACTAATTATTGTATTATTTGTTGTACTCATATTTTCTCTAATTTAATATTTCAGATTCTTTTCTATACTCGTATGATGGAATCGAAACCTAATAAGTAAGCTGTTTGTTTAACATGATTTAATTTATTTACTTTCGTAGTGCTATAGTTTGGTTAGGATCTGGGATTAAAAAGCAAAATTACAGTCCTTTACTCATTCTGATTTTTTTTGTCCAAGAAACGATATTCATGTATTACATTAACATGGACTATGCTCAGTACAATACTCAGCATATGTTTTGTTATAACTTCAAGTATTTTTCGTATATACGATTTCTACCTAATTATTAGTCAAAATGGGTATACAATCAATATATAAATGAGTGTATTTTCGATTAAAGTCATCTTCGTGTTCTGGGATTGATAAATCTTCATTTGTATCAGTATTTGTGTTTTTACTTTCGCGTCGTGGGAATAGCGGTAGTTTCTCGTTTTACAAGTAAAGTGATAAGCGATTCCGACATAACAATTAGCGACGATCAGATATAACAATCGGTGACGCAGTCATAACCGTCGACCACATGTCATAACGGTATCTAAGTTAAAAATTCTGAAATAATTATCACTTAAATAAAAATAACTTATTATTCGATTTATTGACATAAACAATTTTTCAGTAGTTTTAAAACTTTAGAAGAAACATTTAAATGGTTAGTTTATTATGAAATCTTTGTGAATCCTCTTTCATTGTTCAGACAATTGTCGGTACTCAGAAAAATATCGGCTGATATAAATTGATTGACAAAGATCGTTTTGCCAATTTGTGGCGGTTGGATCCGTATGTGATTCTAACTTATTTAAAATTTTCGTAATGTAATTTAGAACAACATATATGACTGTATAAAATTATGTTCAGTTAGACCTTCATCAGACTTTAATATTTGATAACATATGCATATATTAAAAAATATTAAATCAGTCAATGATCACATTGAAAGAAATTGTATAACTGTACGTAACGGGTAAAACTTACAAACTGATAATACGATGATAGGTATACTAGTAGTGATAAAAATGATAACAACTTGAATCAATGCTTCAATATAGAAACTAATTCAAAACATTAGAACATGGACATAAGAATAACAATCGTTAAAAATGATTATGATACTGGAAAATATGTAGTAAAGGCGGTGAATAAAAATCAAGGATGTAAAGAATAAGTAAAATCTTTTTTTTAAAATTTCATACTTGACTATGAAAGAAGCAGGGGCTTTTAAATTTCTTAAGAACACATAAACTAGGGTTGAAGGTTTAATTCTCTATAGCTCCTACTATTTATAGAAGATGAAGTCATTTGCTGTTGTAAAACAACGAAGCTATACTTTAGGCCGTTTATTAAAATGAAGCTTTAATTGAAAACCGTTGTCGGCTTATACGTGTTGTTCAAATTTATTGCATTTTTTCATTAATAATGTACACTAGATATATCTTTCTGAATACATCAAATTAATCTACATGGAATTCCCATTTAAGCCATTGTTTCATGCTTTTGACACCTGCATAGACAGTTATCAATTCTGCATATACTAGGCGTGATCCTATATTCTATATTGTACCAAAATCTAATACTGAATAAAGCCATTAATAATAATAATGATAATACAAAACCAAGTGTTTACCACCATAGCTGTTCACTATACTGTATCGGTATTCCAGAAAATTCTCGTAAACACAAATAAATAAACCAGATTAACTAAATTTTTTTATAAAACAATGAGTTTTCGTATTCTTATATCCACGTCACTTATTAATTATACTTGGGAAAGCAATAAATTACTTCAATCCCGACGACGCGAAGTATGAAGAGCAAGACTGGTACAAATGAACATTTATTAACCCCAAAAACACGACGACGACCCCATTCAGTAATACACTCACAATATATATTGATTGTACACCCATTCCGATTATTAATTACGGTAAAATCACACATATAAAATATACCGAGAGTTACAATTAAATCACATGCTGCATGTTATACTAAGCATAATCCATGTTAATGTAATACAAGAATATTGTACCTTTAATAAACGCATCAAACTCAATTAAATTAATGTTATACAGAATAAAATATCCCACTGGGAAACAAAACAAACACTACACTAAATAATCTTTACAATGAATTAACGGAAGTAATGTAGAACAAAAGCCACAATGAGAAAAAGGATGTAATTTTGCCCACTTATTCCGTCATATCACCTTCCGTTCTTTTTGAGTGGATACATAAGAGTAAGTTTTCCGTAGGGGGTCCATTCATGGATTGTTGTTTTTCTTCTTACTTACTGGGATCTCAACTAGTCGCGTGGTCGTGTTCCTGGTCCCTGATAGGTTTTTATTTTGCAAGCTTGATATTCCATTAGTATATCTTTGGCAAGTTTTCCAAATCTTGAGTAGCTACGATGTTTTTACAATCTCGTCTTTTTATATGATTACTGTGTCTCGTCCATATTATTTCTTCCGCTTTCACTTCATAAATAAATGTTTCACTTACCTATCGTGATCTGGAATTGCGGAAATCCCGCACCCAATGTGCTTCACCTGAATGAAAATTTCTGGTTTTGACACAGCGTTGTTCACTGAACTGCGGTTTTCTTATTTCCATTTCCTTCGATCTTAGTATTAGATCTTGTGAAACAATTTGTACTTTTCTCCTAAACATATTTTCTATTGGTGATAATTCGTTCAATATCACTGGATTCAGTGTTGGTTGTATTATTTCTTTGACTTCCCTTTCTCTCCTTCTTTGTAATAATCCTTTTTAATCAATCAATAAGACGCTCCGTCTTATTCCATAGAAAAGGTCGATCCTAAAAATACACACCTCACCTTATCCCACGTATTTCCGTATCTGGCGGTAATGTTCCAGCAACTACAGAGCCAACATGAATTCCATAGATTCCAGGAAAAACTGACATCTCACTTAGGAACTTCTGTAAACGAGGTTGACCCAGATGTTGCTTAGAAAGTTATACAAACTGCTGTGCAAACAGCAGCGACATCTACTTGTGATTTGAACCAAAGGGTCACGAAAAAACAGTGGATTTCTACTAAGTTTATTGCACTGTTAGATTCTTGTAGACCCAGCCCACCAGGCTCTGAACACGATGGAGAGCGTAAACAAATCAGATCTAGGTTAACCAAAAGTTTAAGGAACGACCACGAGCAGTGGTGAGCAACGAAAGCGAAAGAGATGGAAAAGGCAACGGCAGTAGGTAACACAAGACATCTTTTCAGACTAATAAAATAAACTGAAATTAACAAGTCAAGTGTGAGACAATCGCAGGAAAAGATGACGCACTGATCTGCTGTCGGCTTAGACGTTTAGAGCGGTGGGTGAAACATTTTAAGGAGCAGTTCAGTTGACCTTCAGCTACTCTACAACTACCCATCATTCCCAGACAGCCTGAATGGAACATTGAAGTAGGTCCCTCAACTCCAGCAGAAGTTTAAAAGGCTATAGTTAATCTGAAACGAGAAAGGGCAGCTGGTCCAGATGGATTGGCTCCAGAGGTCTTTAAGGATGGTGGTTCAATTTTAGCGATCAGGTTGACTAATATTTTAGCTAAAATCTGGGAGTTGGGTGTGATCTCATCTGTCTGGCCACAATCACTGAGTGTCCCAATGTATAAGAAGGGGTCGAAATCATCATGTGATAACCAAAGAGGGATTAGTTTAACTAAAATACTAGCCTCGATAATTATCGGATGCCTAACAAAGACTCGTAAACTGTGAATACGAGAAAACCAGGCTGTCTTCAGACCTGGTCGTGGCTGCATCGACCACATATTCACCATTCGTCAGGTTCTAGAACATAGGCATACTTATCGGCGTCCGACAATGGTGGTCTTCCTTGACTTAAAAGCAGTATTTTACTCTATAGACCGAGAGGTTCTGTGGTAGTGTCTGTCATTGAAAGGTGTACCTCAGAAATACATAAACCTTGTGGAGGCTCGTTACTTGAACACTACCAATGGAGTCAGAGCTTATGGCGAACTGTCATCTGATTTTGCAACCTCAAGTGGTTTCAGACACGGCTATCTACTATCTCCATTTCTGTTTAGTTTCATCATAGACTTTCTGCTGGAAGTAACGTCCCAGTCGACTGAATTCTCAGGAATCGATCCCCTATCAGGAAGTCCACTTATCGACTTAGAATACACAGATGACATAGTCCTGTTTGGTGAAGACGCTGATAAAATGCAGAGTCTTTTGGTAGCACTAAGCAATGATGCCAGAATGTTTGAAATGCGCTTCTCTCCCTCTAAATGCAAGTTGTTGCTTCAGGACTAGCCCGCGTCAACATCTGAACTAAGGATAGGGAGTGAAGTAGTCGAACGCGTTGACAACTTCACTTATCTTGGAAGTCCGGTCAGTTCCTCCTGAATAGCTCTAGTAATAATGATGTCATCCCAGTAGGCAGCAACTCCTGGTATTGCACCTGTCGTAATACCAATAATTTGGAATATCATTGCCTTCACACTGAAGGGCGATTGTTGGTACTGATACTGATGCATATGGAACTGGTCTTTTAAGTTTGAAGACAGGTTAAATGTTCAATTGCAGACATAAAACTGCTTTCTTCACCGTTCAACACTCCCACTTCACTGAATATTGAACTATATTTCGACTTAATACGTTTAATAAGAGAGTTTATTTCGCTACTAGTGAATTTCTGAGTTGAGAGTGAAACCCGTGAACAAATGAAATTTAGTAGCATATTCCATAATGAGAGATGCTATATCCAATCAATCCCAAGAAAATCGAAGTCATGACGACTTGTGGGGCAACATTTACCTCAGGAACTTTTAGACCTGAATAAGACATCATATTCAATTCCACCGGCCGGTTTTATTAGATCACCGAACGCATTTCTGTCTCCGTGTGACATGTGAGGACCCTAGTGTACGCAACGTATCACGAAAAATCAGAGGAATATCTGACTGCGTGTCAATCTAAAGTCTGATAGTTATTCTATTTATCCAGATTTCAATATATTTCCTTTTTGCAGACAGTTGTACACTCAAAATATCAAAAACAATATTAACATCCTTACGTGAGACTGATTTGGATCTCTATTCACCGTAAAGTGAAGCACTATAACTCCGATATATCAAGATCTCTCCTGGTTGTAGGTTTCTGTTTCCCCTATTGTTATTATTACACTACCTTACACTAATCTGTTCGTTGTTCTTTTTTTAATGCTCCTTACCTTTCATTTTTTTCCTTCTTCTCTTCAAATTCTCATCGTTTTGTGTGGCGCATATGTATTTGGTGCCCTCTTGTACCAATATTTATGTGTTCAAATAAATAAGTATACGTATTATTGTCAAAAAATTGACCTTTATGCATCTAATTACCATGCGTCGGTTTCTAGTTGTCTCACTAATTTTAGAGTAGAGCTGTGTGTTTCAGTAACTTTTTGAATTAATTATGTTTCCTGGTCAACTTTAGTTTTATTTCAGCCGAATAGTGAACTGTAGCTAGTATTGTTTGAATATGCTCTAAACCTTTTTCGTGCGCAGTCAGGTGATATAAATCCAAAACTTCATCAACTGATGACATTGTTTTTGCCTTGTTATCTTTATAAAATATAAGGATATCCTTCTACTTGACTCATCATAGATAATCGACACTTTGAAGATATCCTTAATCAAGTAGAAGTAACTGTTCCTATATCGCTTTCAATAGCCTGGTTTCACATATATGCTCGTTGTCAAAAGGAAATAGCGGATTTATTTGCCATCCTTGTATTACTCGTGTAACGTGAAATTAGATTCCTTTTTACATCCCTATAAAATTAGGAAGAAATATTCCTTACTCTTGCTTTACATGTTCATGAAGAAAAAAAGGAAAATTCAAAGTTCACGGTGACTAAAAACAGACTGCTAGTCATTTATGAAAATATTTTAATGTAGTTTATTATGATATTGAAAATATAGTATGAGGATGTGTGATGCGAACTCGCATTCCCACTTATTCCTACAGTAGACACTAACAGCTGAATGCACATAGCGAAAGATGTATAAATTTGCTTCACGCCATTGATAGTACTTATTTTGGTTTTCGTTAATTTTATTGATTATTTCCAAAAAAATGATTTGGTTTTTCGATTATTACATCTTACATATATCACAGTTTTTTATATACTCTATTCACGAGGCAAACTCCACCTGTAGCACTTCTAAGGCTACTACCGGTCCCAAGCCCGAGTAAAGGAGGAGGGTTAGGTGTGGGGTCGGCAAACTCATCCCATAGAAAAAAATCTTGCTAAAAAAGCTAACCAGATTAAACAAATTAAACCACTTAAACTGTTCCCTGAGAGTTAAAGGAAGAATTATGAAGTCTCATAATGAAAGCCTAGATTCTTCGGAGATCACGATGCCGATGGTTCTTCTAACAACCAAAGCAACAATTTTTATAGGTACATGGAACGTCCGAACAATGCAAATCAAGAGTGGAAGAGCAGCAGGACCTGACAATATACCAACTGAAACACTAAAGTCAGACATGGAAGTAACTGCAAGCATGCTTCACACTCTATTCAGGAAGAGTTTGGAGGAAGAAAAAGTGCCGACAGACTGGAAAAAAGAACACCTCATTATGATATCAAAGAAAGGAGATCTGAGTAAATGTGAGAACTATAAAGGAATCACACTACTATCGGTACCAGGAAACGTTTTCAACAGAGTGTTGCTGAACCTGATGAAAGATACATTAGACGTCCAACTCGGAAATCAACAGGCTGGATTCCGTAAGGATCGGTCGTTCACAGACCACATCGCCACACTACGGATCATCGTTGAACAATCAATTGAGTAAAATTCGTCATCATACATCAACTTCCCTGATTATGAGAAAGCATTTGACAACGTGGATAGATGACAATGGAAACTTCTTCCGCACTATGGTGTACCTGAGAACATCGTCAATGTCATGCGGAATTCATACGACGGACTACACTGCAAAGTCGTGCATGAAGGTCAGCTGACAGACACATTTCAAGTAAAGACCGGAGTCAGACAAAGCTGCCTATTCTCCCTCATACTCTTTCGTTCAGTGGTCAACTGCATTTTGAAGACCTCTACATCTAAAAGAAAACACGTATTACAATGAACAGCTCGGAACCAATTAAATTTTGACCTGGACCCTCAGCCCCATACACACGAACAACTGCAGATGAAGACAAACAGTGTACAAGGAACCCCTACATCAGTAGGCCTCAATGTACACAAAGGGAAAAGCACGATCCACAAATACAACAATAAGAACACAAACCCAATCACACTCAACGGAGAAGCTCAGTAATATGTGGAATCCTTCACGCATCATCGATGAACAAGGAAGGTGCAATACAGACGTAAAGGTGAGGATTGGAAAGTCAAGGACCGCATTCGTACAGTTCAATAACAAATGGAATTCGAAACAACTGTCAACCAACATCAAAGTGAGAATCTTCAATACGAACGTCAAAACAGTTCTACTGTATAGAGCTGAAACTTGAAGAACTACAACCATCATCAAAAAGATAGAATTATTTATAAACAGTTGTCTACGCAAGATACTCAATGTCCGTTGACCGGATACTATGAGCAACATTTTACTGTGAGAGAAGACAAACCAGCTTCCATCTGGAGAGGAAATTAGGAAAAGACGTTGGAAGTGGATAGAACACACTTTGAGGAAATCACCAAACTGCATTACGAAGCAATGGCTAACTTGGAATGCTGAAGGTAAACGGAAAAGAGGAAGACCAAAGAACACATCGCGCCGACAATTGGAAGCAGACTTGAAAAGAATGAATAGCGACTGGAAAGGATTGCTCAGGGCAGAGTTGAATGGGGAGTGCTGGTGAGTGGCCTATACTCCTCCACGAGGGGTAACAGGCGTAAGTAAGTAAGCACTTATTGATCAAACCAAGTTTTGTCAAATAATCTTATATAATGTTTTGTCTAGTTTTTATGTATGGAATTTGGTTGTTCCATTTTAGAAAACTAAAGCAACAAATCAGTCGTGTTGATATCAACATTTAGATTGTTAAACAGGAGAGTGAAATTAAATGAATTTTGATTTATTGTTCACCACCTCAGTTACTACTGAACATTTAAATTTGAATATTATTTAAACTACTTTGTCTTGGAAACTTTATTTATAGATACTGGATTCTGACAAATAAAATTATACCTTGAAGTGAATAATAATTTTTAAATTCATTATTGTTTGCGTGACACACAAACCTCAAATAGTTTACTAATCATTTTTCCATCTTCCTCTGTGTGATTTATATATAATTTACATTTTAATTGATTTCGGGTAGTTAACCTAGATTTTGAGCGGTTTATTCATGGTGCATTAGGTTGGTTCTGGATAGTGATATATATTTATTGCGAAGATAATAGTAATGTTAACGATCTTTTCCATTTCTTTACTTGCTTATTTCTACTTGTCCCACCGATTTTCCAGTCTTACTGTCGATGGATATTGGTTCGTGCATACGTACATGGTTATGCCTTGGGCTTTCATTTCATCTGTTCACTTATTTGGTGGGGAGGGGGTTTGTGCCAGTCTATACAATGTTTAGAAGTGTGAAGAATTTAAAGTGCAATCGTGCTATCACGTTTTCCTAAGTAGTTGCGTTGTCTGACGGCTGCAATGTAATCTTCAGGCAGAATAGCCCTCTGCCAGTACATCATATGTTAGCGCTTTCTAGAGTTAACCCATCCTGATTGTTGTGGTGTAGATTCTTCTTACCTGGAGATTTGTTTACATTCAACGAATTATTGAATCGATAAGACTTAGTTCCGATTTATCCGTATTAGGAAATTTCATACTAATTCTCACGTTTAATACTAAAAAAATGTAAACCATTTCTATTGCCACTGTTACTCTTTTAGTAGGTTCTCAATGGCGACTTTTGAAGGTTTCTGTCTCCAGGTTGGTGAAAGTCGCACTTTCTCTGAAGCAACATTAACTTCGTATTTAGTGGACTCTCTCCAAATTATTGTCCAGCATTCGAAATTGGCCGACCAAAATCCATAAAGCAAATGCTTTTTGTGAGATGTGTTCGACCTATCAAAAGTAGGTTTCGTATATGATGGAGCTACAACTGTGACAGTGATATTTGAGAAGTTCGGGAGAATAAGTTGGTTATGAGATAAAATTAGTTCTGAAACAAGTAGGGCATGGGAAAAAAGGTAGGCTCCTTCGAATCATCTCTCCGTTTCCTTTCAACGGCCTTTGTAGAGGCGGTAAAAGCACAAAATAACTGCTAAGAACGTGAATTTGGCATTCTGTGTTTTGTAGTGTACACTTTAGTTCTGTTATTGCTTCGTAACTTGATCTGTGATCCCAACTGCTGTAGTAAACGTCAACACCTTTATATAATTTATTGATAAGGTCCACAAAACAACGTAAGAAAGATAAGATTACGTTAAATGTTATAAATACACGGAGTTTTTGTGAGTCGCTGTTAAATAAAGAAGGAGAAATGTCAACTCAACGACAAGTCTTAAATATTTGTTGTACTTCTTTCAGTTGTTTTTTTCCAAAGGAATAACTTTTTTTAATAATTAATGCGTGTTGTCTATACGTCATAGAATCTTACAATATGTCTCACTACCATCCTTGTAGTAGTTCATGGATGGTTTGTGATCCGTGGAGTAGAAGACTGTCATCCAAAGAAAAGCAAAACTTGAAGCCAGTAATATTGCACTCAGTCAACAGATGAAGTTATAGAAAGTATTAAGGAGAGAACTAGTAAGCAGGTTACCGCTGCTGATGTCAAAACTATGAAAGCTAAACTCCACTGGTAAGTGTATAGAAATATATTTCAGGTTGTACTCGAAAGCAGGTAATGCGTATGCTGCGACAAAACAGTGAAGTTAGGGAGCATGTAGAAAGCATTATGAAGTGGATCTAAGCACTTGTGAGTGCAATTATAGAATATTTGTTACGTGTCGATATCCTTGCCTTCATCTGTTACTGACATATGTTAAAAGACGAACTCTTACTGGCAAGCTTAATCACTTACGAAATATAAACTACATAGCTCATCAAATTCTTAGGCATTGTTGTAGATGGAAGTAGTACTTTTGAAAGTTGGACTGCAGTGACATTGGCATCATTCCCAGACATGAGTTTCACATTTTTTGGGTGTTAGTATAAAAATGTGAGGATCCACTGTTGTGGAATCATCACAGTAAATAGTGTGATCAGTCCGTTTCAATTTTAGTCCGTGTTTCCCCCTTCTAAATGCAAACTGGTCTTCGAAGACCTAGACGCTGTTGGAGGGACAAGGAAGATATTTGGTGGTGAGGCTTAAACGTCGTAAACGATGGTGATTTTTCAGTTACCTTTAGTGTAACTAATAGATGAAGAATTACGAAGATAGCCATTCTCTTATAGTATTCGACATTAGTGAGATGTGTCTTCGGAGCCTTTTGTTCGTTTATCTAATGCTTCAGTCCTCCACACAAAGTTCCATTTAATTCGATCAATTTGAGTTATCTTTATATTTCTTCGGTGAGTATGCTACTGCATTGCATCTTGACTGATTGGACGATATTAGAAAATAAAGTGAAAGTTAGAGCTACAAGTGAAGTTCTCAACCTCGATTTCTCTCTTCTGGTTAGTATTCACTCACAGAATGGACGGTGAAATGCTAGATGTGATACACATGTTGAACACTGAGGGGTAGATGTACTAAATAATTCACGGACACGTCCTTTTCCGTTTGCTAGTATCAATGAACTGCGTGTGATACATTGTAGTCCAAAAGAAACTTGGAGTTGCACTGAATGAGAAGTTCCTGAATATTAAAAATTTGCTCGATAACTTATCCTTCTGTTGTAGTGACTAGTGCTATTTTCAAGCCCATTTACATTGTTCTAGCTCTCGAACAGATCAACTCATTCACACTTCCCAAGCCACATTTCGACCCTGTTAGTTATTCACCTATTAACATTAACTGTCTTTGTACGAGCGTATGGGTGTGTATTGCTTACTCTATTCAACACATGTCTATAGAATTTTCACAGTTTTTTTTTGAAATCATGAGTCAGTTGAAGCTAGACCACCATTGAAAACCTGGAAGCACTGGACGGCCGTTTCGTCCTGGTATGGGACTCCTCAGCAGTGCGCATCCACGATCCCGCACCACGCGGGGCTCGAACCCAGGACCTACTGGCTTCGCGCGCGAGCACTTAACCATTAGACCACTGAGCCGGCATCCAACGGTGTTAATGTCTAACTTCAACCAATCCACGAAGTTGCGCCACCGTACACCATTGTCTTCAGTGAGTTGTTATCTCACAACAGACCGGTTGAACTCCACTGGTAACGGCTTCTCACTAGAACTTCAGGAGTTTTTCCTGAAGTCAGTCACTAGTGAGCAGTTGATTATTATTATCAGAGTGGGTTTTGTGGAGAATTTTAGAATTTTCACAGTTTTTTTGAAATCATGAGTCAGTTGAAGCTAGACCACCATTGAAAACCTGGAAGCACTGGACGGCCGTTTCGTCCTGGTATGGGACTCCTCTATAGCTTATTTTTGTCTGACTACAAATATTGAGTCTCGCTTTATCGACCAGGGTTGGCTTGCTATCCTTCTCCGCTTCGAATCGCTTTCTCATATATATATTCATAAGTTTGAATCTCACTAGTTGATTCGAATCTCCATTCAATTCTTTATTCGACTCTTAATTCGCCTCTGTATTTTCTTGCTCGCCAGCTCCTGTCAATATTTCCTGTGGCTTAGTTATTTGAACTATTTGATGGTAAACTGCAATCGGCACTTCCTGTTGTCTTCTGGATCCATACACTGTTCGGATTACTTTAATAACGGTTTTCAGGGCGATTGATGTACGATGACTCAGGACTTGTGTGGAAGCCAGTTCACTACAGCATAACCCCACTTCTCATGTTCTGCGAATTTAACTAAATTAAGGAAACTGATAAAGATTTGGAAATCAGACCATAGGTATTGTAAGCACTGTGGATAATTACAACTGCCACTAGCAAGCTTCATATTCAGTAATCCTTAAAAAATAGTGGAATTTCCGTATAGGTTATTTTGTTTGAACACAATTGCTCATATTGTCAGGTTTGCGTTCTAGAACCACCTAGAATGAATTCTTGTTATTAAAAGTTTCGGAGGTTTTGAATAGTAAGAATTATCGTAAGTGCCGTTAAGACTATTGAAATGGACATCGTAGTAATTGTTTATTGTAGCACTGTAGCCGCTGTATTATCACGATTCACTTTCTATTTCTGCCATTTTCGGGGTCTATTATAATTACTTGTGCGACTGATCATTTACTTTACGTGGGGAATATGTTATCCAGAACTCCACGATACTTGAACCAGGTGTAACAATCCTTTGGCTAGTTAAAGAGGAATTTCGGTCGCACTGGTTAGTAAGTCTTCAAAATAAGTAGCGATACTTCGATACTGATGCTGGCGTTATTAATCCTGTCCATTACATTATTATCTTTGGGCTTTCTGTCAAGCATCCCCACTAGATCACACCTGGACACTCCGCACTGCACGTCTCTAAAGACCACTAGTTGCTTTATATTCCATAGAATACAGTATATTGATTTTACTTCTCACATACTTTTGCATTCCATCACCCTTAACTTCTCATTTGTCTGACTTTGGAGTCGTTCCGCAAAAAGAGGTATCAATTGGTTGGTCTCCGTGATCATCTTCACAGTTTAGTATAATGTTCCCAAAAATCTTACTGAAGAAGGTGAATTACTGACTCTCTGAACTAGCTGAAACCACTGAAATTGATTCAATATGAACGCACGTCCGTACCGTGAAGAGGTATATCACGCATCTCTGTTTGTCTATGCTGACAATAAGTTTGCCTCATTTTGACATAGTATACATTTCAATTATCAAATCCTTTTGTATATATGATATCCAGCCTCCTTATTATGAAATAGTCATGAACTCACACTATTCTGGTCTCATTTGGTCGAAAAGTTTTATTCAAAATATGATACCATATAAACTTTATTTTCATATCATT